CCGTGCGCGTGTGATGCCTGTGTTCACGTGGCACGAACAAGATAATCTCTAAAGAACGTGGCCCGACAACGGCTGACTCTTATCTCGCAACAATCTCGTGATTGATCTGATTATTCGAGCCGGTATACTCATCTTCGTATGCTCGTTATCGAAACTAATTCCCCTTCGATAAAGTGCGCGGCTGATCGATACCAGGAATGCGAAAAATGTTTCGCGTGGATTGCAAGGAAACCCGGCGCCTGATTATTTTTCATTCTTCTTCCTCTTCGAGACAGACAGAGAGATAAGCCCGGTCTTCTCCTCGTTCCGAGAGGTGGAACGCGCCCACGGAAACGGAATGTAATTTAGCGAAGACTCGAGATGCCTGGGAGGGGGAGAGGGAGGGAGAACTCTACCACCACCATGATCGCCATTCTACGATTCGGTCATTCTAGACGTTCATTCCAATCGGAATGCAATTAATGTTAATTAGCTATTTTCGAGTCGCGGTCGTCGATCGCCGATCCTAAACGTGTTACACCGTTTAGCGCTCGACTCGCGGATCGTGTTTAACCCTTTGGCTGCGGTGCGATATGCGCGTGTCGGTCGCTAATAAAGAATACACAAATAAAACGAATTTTAAATCTGTGTTAGATCAGTTTAGTAAAACAGTAAATCTGCTGTAGTAGAAAAAATTTAGAGGATGTATATACAGGGTGTAACAAAAATGTTGGAGGGCCCGGAAATAAGAGACTCATGAGGTGATTTGTAACAACTTTTTCCTTAGCAAAAATTTTGGTTAACTGTACACTCTCTGGAGAAGGTTTTAGGATTCTCCGTTCACCCCGTGACGTCATACGGGGTAAGACAAAGAGGGAGGAAGCAAGATTGTGACGAAGGGAAGAGGGAGAGAACCCAGCTCTGCGTATAACACGGTATCGAGAGAACCAACCGACCCCATTTAACGCCGCTTTTAGTTCCTACTTTGACCCCGAGAAGAATATTAGCTTCCCGTGTATCTCGCCAAAGGATACAAGGGAGATACTATGTACTCGGGCGCGAGCTATTAGCACAGACGATATTATAAGAATAGACCTAACATCTTATGGGACTTGGTGTCCCACGAAAATCACGTTGGTTCGAGCGTACTCCCCATAAAACTTTCCGACTTCAGGAACTACGTTCTACACCGTGATGACGCACAACACACACAACAATGTCTCCGTGAACGCATCGTCGAGAGACAGGTGAATAATTTACGAGATCGGCGGCTGTGGCGGAGGAATTTAAAATTTAGATGCAAACCTGGTCGTCACCTCCCCATTATTCTGTTTAATTACCGGTGCCGGCAGGTGTCTATCTGTGCCAAGTGTTATTGGAATCGACGCGTATCCATGTCTCGGCCGGATGGTTATTTCGGGTAACAGTACGAAGGACGCGAGCCGCGCGTTGCTAGATCACGAAAATACTGTCGTCGTCGTCGTCGGGGTCAAGGACGCCGATTTAATATGCTGCTCGGATCGTTTGTAACGACGCCGAGAGTCGTAACCCTTTCGAGCGCGTGTCGTGCGTGTGCGCGAGTGACAGGGAGCCCAGTTAAGAGAAATTAATACGGTTGTTCTCGACGACTACAACTGGGGGGGGGGGGGGGGTGTTCGTACGCGATGAACTGGTAAGTTTGCTGCGGGGAATTACACAAAACAGCAAATGCGTGACTATTGTCATTGCAACCGGGACATTAATCAGACGCTGTGGAAATGCAGATTTTTCAATATTTGAAAAACATACTTAACCAATATTTTTGTGCTATTAGGGTATGCGCATATTGGTTTGAAAACTCGCTTTTCATGGTCATAAATTAAACAGATATCTACTTTTTTCCATCGCAATATATTATAGTTCGTTCGCTCCTGTTCAGTCTCTTCCGGAAATATTCAAATTCAATTCGAATTAGAGCGAAATGGAACCATCCTCTGGACGAATGACCACCCTTCGTCGATCCCACGTCACAGACCTAAACCACGGAATTATGAAACGGCCCCGTGTATAATTCGAAAAGAGACCGTCGAGTCTCGAGTTTCATCGAGAATTCCAATTCGAGCGCGTTCGACCGAGCGGAAGCGAACACGCGGCTCTGTCTTTGATAGACCGGAAACGCAGCCGAGCCCGCGAGTTCTCGGCGACGACAGCCTCCTGACAGCTCGCGATAAAACTTCTCCTTGTGATCGGGACCAACCGAGGGAAACCGTCGTCCTTTAACCATCCTCCACCCTCCCCCCCTCCAACGATCGTTGTTAAAACTACGCACACGTGTCCCTTGGCCCGATTAACATTAGAACTACCAGCATTGAACGTATACTAAATTAAATTATATAATACAATAATATATAGAATATAAGGGTGAGTCCCCTAAAATTTTCACCTGAAATATCTCCGTTGTTTTTGACGATACAAGAAAATGTGTATGGAACAAAATGTTTCCTCCAGTGGGGCAATTATTGTTATAGAGAAGATTTTTTTCACGAGGTCATATTTTCCGATATTTCAAGGTCATCGTCGTTTTTTTTAAATAGGATAACGTATTTTGATTAGTGTAATATTATATCTAATGAAAAGACAAATTCAACCATGTATAATATGTTAACCTTCAAATGACCTTCGGAGGAGTTATTCTTTGGTTATTTGTTGGCTGGTGGCTAATGTTACTTCGAACGTTGAATCGATACGAAAGTACGCTAACGAACAAAGATCCCCGCTCGAAAAGTACACGGGAGAACGCACGTGTAAACGTTCGAGGCAAATCGAGCTCCAACCTCGCGGAATAACGAGCAAAGATGCGCGGCGACGTGTGTCCGAGCTTGTAGGCTAAGTCTCGGCTTAAGAAACCCTTGGCGATCTCGCTGTCGGCCACTCGATGACACGCGATCCTCGAAATCCCGATAATCTCCGCTTCGTGTCGACGCGTTCCTCACCCCCCCTAACGATTCGAAGGCAATTTCGCTCCTCTCTAGCCACGTTTTTTCATTGAATCAACCCCCTCCCCAATTTCGCTTTCGAGCGATTTCAAGCGATATCGAGTCCTAGCCACGGGTCAACAATGGACAGCGTTTTGAACGCGTGATTTCATACGTTTCTACGGCTCCCTGGTAAACGAACAAAAAACCAAAAAAAAAAAAAAAAAAAAAACGCTTGAAACAACAATCACACCGTACCCTTTCATTCCCCACCAATCCAACCGTTATGGTACGTACTCATGGATTTTCGCCGAGTTCCATGCAGGAAAAACTTCCGCACGACGTGAGTTATTACTAGCCTGCGGATTTTTATGCAAAATGACATTTTTTCAAGTGATTTTTCAAGACAACAGCTAAGGTAAGAATTTCTTACCTCTCTCAAATATTTTATTAGGTTCAGAATAAATTAGAAAAGACATTGCATCCGATGAAAGTTTTTTCTCTATTGTATCACACAGAAATGAACAAACTCATTATCTAGATAAAAAGTTTCGAATAACGAATAAAAGATAAAAAAACATATTTTGTCATTTTTAATTGCTTAAACGTGGAAATTTCAATTTTTATAATAAAATAATACTTCTTTATGAATGAATCGACATTGGTATTACACAAAGCCGTATTGGCTATAAATGCATAAAATCCGCAGTCTAGGTATTACGTACGCGGGCGCAGCCCTCGGTATTCTCGAGCCCTGGCACGTACATGCAAGACGTGATGACAGTGAGAAAAAGGGTTCGAGAATCGAGATTCCGGAAACGTGACCCGTTCGTTTATTAATACGCTGTTAAGATGGTGGAGGCGTGTAAAAGGCAAAATCCGGAAGTAGGAGAAGACAGCTTGGCACGTTTATATTTTCATAGGGGGAGTAAAAAAACGGAGAACTAAGAGAAACTGGGTTGCTCCAGGACGATTCCCCCAGGATCTACCCCTCCGCCGTTTTGTTTGGCCGACGATATTTCCAAGTGTTGGCTATAGTAACTCACGTGATCGTTCGCATACTTTGGAATTGCAATTAAGCATACCAATTTTTATGCAATTTGCAGTTGTGTATAAAATAATATTAAATTATATTAAATTAATAGTGGCGGCGATACCATTCCATTGTTTACTTTAACCCTCATATGTACCTTGTGCCAATTTGACACATTATTCTTCTAAAGAATCTGCAAATTTAACTATTTATTTCTTCATATTCATTCGTGTCGACTTGACACCAAGGAACAAATTAAGTTGGGAAAATGAGGGACGGATGAGGGTTAATGTATTGTAAAAAGGATTAATATCGATCGTTTCGCGGATGAATAGCCTTGATAGACCGCGATTATTGACTGTTCGAGACGCGTTTTCCGTTCCGCGAGCATGCACTTTGTTTTACTTTTATCGATGTGGGTCACTAACGACGATAAAAAAGAAACAAGTTGGCATGCAGGGACGACCTTTGGTGTAACACGAACCAAACGAAAGTCGACCTCAGACGGATCTTGATCTTCGTTGGAATGAAAACGGAATCGTTCACGAACGAAGAAATCACGATAATTCAGAAGAAATAAATACAGGATAAAGTAGCTTCACGTTAGTTACGCCAACGATCGAGGGTCTTGAAAATTTTTCGCTTATTTCGGAAACGATTCGGAATCAAGGATGACGAACCGAATAGTCACGGTCGCAGCTGGTGACACATGTGGAATAATTGGCCAGTGGTCTCCGCGGGAATCGATACCTCTCTCTCTCTATCGAAAACTAGATTAAAAGCCTTCGATAATAGTTTTATTACGCGTCTCTTGACGTGTATATATATATATACATCACGTTAAATATCGATCGAAAAAAACTCTCGAGATAAACCCACTCGAGAACCGGCTCGGAAATCAGTTTTTAGATTGCATCTAGATCGCACCGATACGTCTATTAACGGCTCAATTTTTCACTATAAATACTGTCCGATGAATCCACTTTCAATCACAACACTCGCTACCGACAACGAAAGCGAAAGAAACTTTCGGAATGGAGAAGTTCGCCGCGATCCTCGCCCTCGTGGCCTTAGTGGCCGGTAAGTTCTGAAATATTCGAATAAACTTCCAATTCCCGCGGACTCAGGCGGTCTTAAGGGATGGCAACGGCCAACGGGGAAATCTCTCACGAACGCGGCACGGTGATTCGTCGTCCCTCGACACGTCCAAATATCTCGCGAAATTACGAAGAAACTTTTCCCTCTTGAATGAGAAATTCATCATCGATCTGTTCCGTCCGTTGAAAAACGTTCCTGAAACGGCAACATTATATTTTCTTTGCCAACGAACCGCGAATAATTTATCGTATACTACTAGGGTAGAAAACTCATTTACTGCCTAAACGAATTACTGTCATTCTAGACTGTTTTACTTAAAATAAGAAATAAACGTTGCGAAGTTATACATAAAGAAAATTCTGCACGCAATAAGCCCTTTGTTATACACGTCCAGAACAGGAAATAAACTTACAAAATTCTACAGTAAAGAAACCACGACAAAAAAAAAAGAAGAAGAAAAGAAAAGAACAATTAGTTACAATTCTGCTAATAATGAACTCTGTTCCCACACTTTCGGCCGGAAGTGCATGTACCTATATGAAAAACGCAGCCGTCGAGTAGGAAACTTTTTCCACGAGAAAACTTTTCGAGCGTTAATTACTCGAAATATACAATTCCCGTCAGTACTACGCTTGACATTAGACCTGGACCCGACTCCTCAACACTCGCTATCTAATTTCACCCTTCCACCCCTATACCTCTATTATCCTGACCCATATACAACCTGTATTCAACATGCCTAACCAAGCGCCATTCACGCAAACTCCAAACAACCTCTACAACATACACCGACGTCTCGCCAATTTTATCAACCTCGAACGTGACCTCGGTTCAAGTGTCCCTTATCTCGAAACTTCTAAAGAGTACCAACACCAACTCCAAGCAACACCACACGAAATCAAACTAACTTTCCTTTCTGTTCCACAGGGAATCCATTGACCGAGACATCGGACAACTTGTTCGATCTGCGAATGGACGGACGTATAGTGGGCGGCGAAGAAGCACGCATCCAGCAGGCCCCGTACCAAGTGAGCCTGCAAATTGAGGGCCGTCATTTCTGCGGCGGTAGCATAATCGCCTCGAATTGGGTATTGACCGCGGCTCACTGTACCTCTTACGGGCCGAGCTCGTACCAGATCCGTTCGGGTTCGACCTACGTGAAAAACGGGACCCTTCACAGAGTCCAACAAGTGATCAAGCACCAAAACTACCACACCAACAAGAACGATATTCCGGTGAACGACATCGCTTTGCTGCGTCTGGTCAATTCCGACGCGTTCCGATTCGACAATAGCCGACAACCCGTGAGACTGTTCCAGGGTAACTCCTCGTCTCTGGTTGGCAAATACGGTCTGGCCACCGGCTGGGGTACCACGGACAATGGTACCCCGAAGATGCTGCAAAAGGTCACGGTGCCTTTCGTCACGAAGCAACAATGCGCGAACGCGTATAGTAGCTCGGGAGGCATTCCTAAGGGACAAGTCTGCGCTGGTTACACAGCTGGTGGCAAGGATACCTGCCAGGGCGATTCTGGCGGCCCGTTGACCGTCAACGGAGAACTAGTCGGTGTCGTGTCCTGGGGCAAAGGATGCGGTACTCCTAACTATCCAGGTGTCTACACGGACGTTTCCCATTATCGTCAATGGATCAAACAGAACAGCGGAGTCTAACCATCCCATCATCCCTCCAAATGATCTTTCGTTTAAGTCGCGTGTAAACCTATGATAGACACTCGAAACAAGACAAATGATTGCGTTTAGACGACACCCCTATGTCTCTGAACTTCATTTCACAGAAAACACAGTTAGGACTAAAGCTGCGCGAAAAAGGTCCCTTCTCTCGTGGAACGGAGTGTATATAGGTGTTCACGCGATTCAAGATGATACCTGGCGCATCGAACTACGACAAGGGAGACGGTTCGACTGGTCCTAACCGTCAGGACTTAACGTGTAAGCCGATTTAACCGTCGACTCTCTATCCTCGGAATAGGTTTAAGCGAGACATGTACAAGTGTAAACGATGACATTATTTATGAACGATGCGACACAACGAGAGCAAAAGCTATTTCGTACTGGCGAACTGTGTCCCCGCACATGTTACCTGATACCAAATAAAAATGACTTGTTACTAACCATTTTATCGCCTGGTTTCGTTCACAGCCCATGACCAAATGTGTGTGCGAATTACTCGACCGTACGCATTTACGTAGATTGAATTTCTGTCGAACTGAAGCAGATTTTAAATAACAATCGAAGCGACCGTTGAATGAAATTACAGTGCTCGGTTTACCAGAGTGTCGTTCTAATATTTTTTTTTTTCTATAGAGAATATCGAACTGCGTCAGTTAATGCATAAAAAAAATATATGACTTCGTTTGAAAAAAACTTAGGTGACCTTGAAATCCCCGAAATTCCACCAACTGCAAAACAATTATTACTACCCCATTATAATGAATATACTGAACCACAAACAACGGACCACCCTGTATATAGTCACTCTGTACTACGCGTATTGTTAGTTCGTAAACACGCAAACTCTCGGCGAGTTCGCTGATTCATTACGAATGGTCCGCGTGAATTGCGTCAGCAGACGAGATAGAGGGCAAAGTGGCAGACAACGGGCGCCCAGAAACCGGGAACCATTTTGATTGATATTTTAATAATACCCACGAATGTGCAGATCAGCAAGCTTAAGACCCGGTTTAATCTCGCCTTTCTCTGAATCGTTCCGCGCGCTTATCAATGCACCGCCGTTCAGACAGGCTACGAGCGATATTCGACCCAATTATTGTATAAATACTTCGGGGATACCGACAGCAAGGCATAACAATCCAGAGACTCGAAGCAAGATGTTCCTACAAGCAAGCATCCTCTCATTGCTCGCCTTCGCGGCAGGTAAGTGTTCTCTAAATCGATCCTATAAACTTGGTCTCTGGACCAAGATCGCAATCGCGATCTAATTCTGCTAACTAGCTATTTTCAGCTAACTAGCTATTTTCTGCTAATAGCCTATTGCCTATTCATAGTACTCATCCAAACTGTTTCTTCTCTTGTTCTCTCAGCCAATCCCCTGGCGAGGCAACCCTTCCTGAGCCCGTTGATTCCAAGTGGCCAGATAGTGGGTGGCAAGGACGTCAATATCGAGGAGGTACCGCACCAGGTATCCCTTCAATCCTCTGGCATGAGCTTCTGCGGTGGTAGCATAATCGCTGATCAATGGGTGGTCACGGCCGCCCATTGCATGGCCTACCCAGCTGACTGGATGACCGTACGCGCTGGCACCACGACCAAGTCCTCCGGAGGAAGTGTCCACAAGGTGGCTGAGATAATCATCCACGAGGACTACGTGACGAATTATTACGGTGTCCCGGAGAATGACGTCGCTGTGATGAAACTCAGCACCCCGTTCAAACTGGACAAGACCAGGCAGCCGATTCGTATCTTCAAGCAGAACGAGGAATCCAAGGTGGGAATCAACGCTGTGGTCTCTGGATGGGGCGCAGTCAGGGAGGGCGGTTCCACAGCTGAAGTCCTTCAAGCGGTCAACGTTCCCATCGTATCCAAAAGCGTGTGCAACAAGGCCTACCAACCATACGGCGGTGTCCCAGCTGGACAGATCTGCGCCGCTGTACAAGAAGGAGGAAAGGATGCCTGCCAGGGCGACTCTGGCGGCCCTATGACCATCGGTGGTCGTCTTGCTGGTCTCGTATCCTGGGGATACGGTTGCGCCAGACAAGGATACCCCGGCGTTCACACGGAAGTCGCTGCTTTCAGCGACTGGATCGTCTCGAAAACTGGCATCAAAGTCTAACGACCGACCGTGACACGCCATGGATTCCCCCAAACGATACGATTTATATTGTTATCCGATTTATACATTTAACGGGTGTCCTGCGTTAGCAGGGTAGGTTTAATAAAAGCAGCATTCAAAATACCTGTACTAGCGTTCCATTACCCTCCACCAAATCCTAGATACACGAGACCATTCGGATAATAGGGGACGAACTAGAAAGCGAAATGCTTGCAAGGCAAGATTGAATTTTGAAAATACCTGTACTAGCGTTCCATTACCATCCACCAAATCCTAGATACACGAGACCATTCGGATAATAGGGGACGAACTAGAAAGCGAAATGCTTGCAAGGCAAGACACCGACAAGAAATATAACGTACCGAAAAAAAGTCAGAATACTTGTTCGAGAATTCCATCCGCGACGATTCGTTCTGATTAAAACTTTTGCTCCGGGAGGAAGAGTCGACAGATCACAATTAGTGCATAGTTGGAAGTAAAACATTATTCCTGGAAATATCCTCTCCGACGAATATCAGTTGCCCTCCAACAGTTCGTTTGGCTGTTTTTCATATGTAGATTCTCGAATCCAAAGCCGTGTTCACCCTTTATCCGATCGCGGAATAATTCGAAAACTAGAAACACACACCGTTCAAGGTGGAAATTAATCCTGCCGCGGTTCGCGCAGCTGGCGGAAGCACGCGCTATTCAATCTCGTCTAATGCGTTAACCCGATTCCACGAGGCCAAGGGGGGGGAGGGGGAGTCAGAAACTAACGCTAAGTGCACCTTTCATTAACGAATTGCATCGCATCGCGGAGGCGACACGGATACGAACGGACGTGGACACAGGACCAGCGAAGGAAAGATGGAAACGTAGACCGAAGACGATGGTGGACGGGAAAAGGAAACGGAAACGGCCGGTGACATAGTTTCCGGGAAATTCAGTTTGCGAATCCAGTCGACAATAACCGTCGACGGTGGAAATTTCGACCCCGTTTCGGCCGAGTTACTCGTCGAGGTTCTCAACAGCAGAAAAGCCGATCGACATTGTCGGAATGGTGACAACGAAGGGGGCGTAGTTGGGCACAATTTTATTCGACTAATACAAAGTGAAAAGATTCCGAGTACCTAAGGGGCGTCATCCTGAGCTTTAAACGGTTAATAAAAATTAAATACTCTAATGTCTCGATGAGTGCGACATACTCGAATCAACTTCGGATTGTTCGTGGCGAGTTGAAACGGTTTTCCACCTCTCGTAATTTATTTTTTCCCCGAAATTATTTAATATTGCAGTATAATTTGAAACAACGACCAACAGTCACTATTAACGAAACGCGTACACTTTCAACGATTTATGACTTTAAAAATAAAATAAAGGGTGTCTGACTACCCACGACCTTTTCCACTGTGGCAGTCATATGTTAATATTTTTTCCTCCCCCCTGACCCTATGTCTAGGCGAGGGACGCCAGGAGAGGTAAAGGACACCCGAGGCCGTGCAATTAACGTTTGATTTACATTACCGCAACAAACAACTCTGCCAGACTTACGCCGTCCGTCTGCCAAATCAGAGAGCGCAGGCACGATCGCGATTTATTACATTTTCACCTAAGGCCCAGACACGTCTCGAATATTCTGAAACCACCCACCCCCGATAGGGAAACCCCCACAGGAAATAGTGGGGGTACACTCCGAGTCGGTGCAAGCTGGAAAAGCCAGAGTAATCGCGGAGAGAAACGAGCTCCACTTTTATATGGGTTAAAGACGCGGGAACCGAGGAGAGAGCTTTATGGCGATGTCTCGCGCCGAGAGGAGCAACGGGACGTTTGCCAAACTAGATTCTCCCACCCTCACTCTCCGTAAGCCGTACGCGTGGTCACGCGCGTCCACGTATAGCGACGACAACGAGGACGACGATGAGTACGCCATTAAGCAAATCGTCGGCCCCTGCTGGGCTCCAGTATTTGCGGTGTCATCGAACGAAATATCCTCAAACTCTAGATTAAATATCCTCAAACTCTAGATTAAATATCCTCAAACTCTCTTATTAGATGTGCCCCTTGATTAAGTCCCACGCCTCGAGATTTTCATAAAGTGCACCGTTAAGTCATTATTCGAGGCGATCAAGTTTGATGAGACAATCTGTATCTGCGTTATAAATTTCTTTGTCACACGAAATAAGATCTAAACACAGCTATTTACAACTATAAACACAAGACTCTTGCTACCCCAGTCATTGTTGTCGGCGACTCAATTGTTATAACATAATAGCTTCAAGCATCTTTTAAATTAGCATTTAAGTAAGATAACCCACCTTACCCCGTCATGCCCCCCTTCTTTTAGGTATATATTCCTCTTATCATAACTTTAATCATCCGTTTGTAATAAACTTTTCTTCATTTTTTCGCGGTACCAATATTGGAATCGGCGGCCAATAGCGTCCTAAGGCCATCATCATCGCGGTAGCTACCAGGTGTGCATCCCTCGGTCTCGCCGTCACCGAACAGCGATTGGACCACAGCCAGCAACACACCAGACACCGCGCCCGCGAACCTTGCATCCGAACTCGCGCGAAAATTTCAAGTACAAGATTATCAGCCCGTTTGATTGTCGCGGTTATCGTGCCCGCCCGTCCACTCCCCGAGCATCGATCGAGCGGAGAGTTCGACGAACGTGAAACCAGGAGGAGGCGAACGCAATCAGCCCCCCCCCCCCCGCCTGCGCGAATAGGCACCACCGAGGACCCCAGTCGATAAATTATTTTTAGAACGTCCGGTTAGCCGGCGTAGTATTAACGATCGAACCTGGCACAAACGAGGACGATCCGATCGAGGTCAATCGCGATTGCCCTGCGAGTAGTACTCGATTCGTTCACCTTGAACGTCGGATCCTTCGACGCTACCTGTAAATCGTGGAACGTGTGTGAGACCCAAGAAACGACCTCGATACATCCAGTCCCGGATTAAGATGTCTTGTGGCTTCAGGGACTTCTACCGAAACGTAAAATACCGGTATTTTCGTTTGAACTCTTCGTCATATATAACCCTATATAAGCCATACCCTTATAGAAGCCGAAAAAATACCGGTATTTAGGGTATTATTATAGAATTCAAAAATTTTCAAAGATTGAAGTTTATTCTAAATATAATACCATTTAGTCACAACGAAGCCTTCATTATAACGGACAATGCTTCGTTGTATTTGTAGGAGCGTTGGAAAAATGAGAGGGCCCAAGCGGGATTCGAACTTACGACCCCCGGCACCGAAAGCAGAGACTCTACCCACTACTCCACGGAACCCTCCTATTTTCCCAAGATGTTATTTTGCTCCTTTGTTGGGTACGGAGTTCCCGATCCCACATATTTTAACAACATTGATCCGATTTATTTCTACATTTCGTGCAGATTCCTAGTATTTCAGAGGGAACATAGTAAACAAAATTTCATTCAATTATTTTTTTATATTAATGGAATGCTTAGATCGGGACCCCCCTGGAAAGTGGAGCTTGGGGCTGCAACCCCCATCCCCTTAATCCGACTCTGGATACATCGATGATAAACGGTACCAACCGTTTATAGGCATCACGTTCTTTTAACCCCTTTTCGCTACTACCAACGTCTTACAGTCGCGCCGCTATACTATCTGCATACCTAATACGATAATGTTTATCGTCTGGTCGTTACACGTTTATCGTTCCGTCGTCGGTCGTGGTGTAATATACAGGGTGTAACAAAAATGTTGGAGGACCCGGAAATGGAGGCTTCGTGAGGTGATTCGAAACAAGTTTTTCCTTAGCAAAAATGTTATCAAAGAGGGATAAAAAGCGAGTGTTGGATTAAAAGCGTTGGTGGAAATTCCGTTGCATGTCCGTTGTTTTAAAAAAATATATATTACCGTCTATGCATATGTATGTCGGATGGTAGAGGGGGGGGGGGCGAACTATAGTCGTATGCCCGTGGCATACACACAGATCGCTTCACGGAGGGCGATCATAGCAGCCCGTGCTAACGAGAAAGGGTTAATCGATATTTATAGAAGACTCTCGATATTTATAGACCGATTGACCTGATATTTATAAAGCCGATGCTAGAGCTTGACATTTAAAAAAAAAAGTATATATATATATTCTTAGTAAAAAAAAAAAGGGGGGTCGCTTATCTCTAGAACGCTGTGTAATTCCCAAACAGATAGTTCGGTTCGTTCAGCTGTTTTCGAAAGGCCACCAGAACACACGCAAAGGACAGGATGACAAGGAAACGATCCAACGATTGGTTGGTTCAACAAAAAAAAAAAAAAAAAGAAGAAAAAACCTAGGCCGCTGGGTTTCGAAACATGGCGACGCTCGTGAAAGTACAGGGAGGTGTACCTCCTGGTGGTGCCTGTCTCGGTCGAACGGTTTTTTGCGGTCGTTGCAACTTTTTCCCCTCCCTCCAGGCGAAATTGGAGAAACACAGCGGGCAGCAGGCAGCCATGGAGGAAGAAGCTGGAGCAAACGGTGGTCACAACTAGAGGCAAGAGAGAGAGAGGGGGGGGGGCGTGTGAACTTTTGACCTCGCCGTTGCTTCCGCACGCGTGCCAACCCCCGATTGGACTACTTTCCTCGAAATATTCCCATTAACCCCTCGTCGGGTCCACCCTCGACGCCGGCCTCTATTTACACTATGCTTTATTGCGTTTAACGGTTAATGTTATCGCGAGCATAGAGACACGCAACATACAACGCCCTCCGTTGCCCCCCCCCCCACCCCGGTACCCTCCGCGATATGATCGATGTTTCCCGCGGGATGTTGATGTATTCCTGTGGGAGCAACTCGTTCCTTTGCGAGATGAGTTTTCAGGTGGGAACTGGCTCTATCCCGATCGGTACACACGATCTCGGAATCGTGGTTGAAAATGAAAACAGCAGAAAAGAATCGTTACGTAATACAGTGATGTCTCGATGAGTGCGACACGAGCAACGACGTTATTTCAACCACTCGGTGGAGAAACTCGAGGCAACGAAATGGATTGGAGGGCATTAATCGTCCGCGGATAGGATAGTGCATACACACGTCGAATGTATCGATCGTTAGCCGATTTCCGTCGACCGATGGATTAATCAACTCTCCTCGGTTACAGATGCGTGGGCGGGGAGGGGAGGAGGGATCATTTTCGAGTATTATCCACGATGCTGGGGCCAATCTGTCCGTGATGTCATAACGCGACTAACACACACATACGAAACACGGATAAAATCGTGTAACGACACACACTATGCATATCATGAATATGCATGCAGCAGACGGGGACATCGACGACTCTACTTCATCTTTGAAAATTTAATTAACCCCATACCCCTCGTTATCCATACATACGTGCTCAACACCGAAGAAACCACCCGCCACCCTCTACGGCCCCATTGTCCCCGATCGAATTGTCTTTCATCCGACTGGAAATAAAAGCGTGTTTCTCGCGCCATTTTTACCCTGCCAACGTCCTTAAGGTGATTCGTGCTAAATTCCAAAGATTAGATAATTACATAAAATTAATACAGATTGTTTATTAGAACGAAATACACACACAACAAAAATTTGAGACTCTGTCGCTGATGCAATAAATAAGAAAAAGCTTGTCAAAAATCGAGTTTTCAACACAGCTTTTATGGCAGTCTTACGATTTTTTCTATTCACAGAAATTAGAATTGCTAACTACAAACTACGCAGGTACCGAAAGTATAAATCCTGAGCTTTCTGATAATAAACTAAATCTTGTACCATACCGAACATTCCAGAAATGTCCCTAGAAAATGGTCCCTTCCTGAGACTCTGATCCTGAACCACAAACAGGCGTTGGTTCACGTTCAATTATCCGACGAATCCTTGCTTGTCCGATGACGAACTTCGAAATTCATCGATAAAAGAAGCCAGCCAACTATATGGCGAACAATATTTTCCTCGACTTCTCCGTTGTCGAGTTTCGTGTTCATTTCGACGATAGGATTTTCGCATGCGCGCGAAAGAATACGTGGAATCCGCTTAATCGTGCGAAGGACGACGTCGAGAGACACGCAATCGTGTTCAAGTTTCTAAATACAGCAGGTGCAAACCATCGCCGCGAAAAGTGCGTAATACACGCAAGAACGAGACAAGCCGCCGCCGAATGTCGGTTATTCTCGTTTATCCCAATTCCCTATGGAACACAGACACACACACACACGTTGTTGGCAGCGTCATGTATACGACCAGAAACGAAATTTATAGAAAAGTCTGTAGTAACGGTCCACAGCTCGTACGTTATTTTTGGCATCGGTGAGTACTTCGAGGATGCACTCCTAACCTCTCCAATCTCGGTTGGCAATTAACTTATCGATTTCGAGGACGAGACATCCCGCCGCGCGCGGGCCACCGAACAACAAGCCCCCCCACTGGTCGTTTTCACAGAAATCCTTTTTTAAATTGATAAAGAAACTCACCTTCCAAGGGCCTGCTACCGCTTCGTAAATATATTTCAAGTACTGAAATAAATGTTAAACCGAATGTTAATTACGTGAAAATAAACTTCAGTTACTCCGTGACCAAATGGTAGAAGGTATTTCCCTTACATCACATTTTCCTCTAGCGAATGTCGAGTTTGCTTGCGAAGGCACTTTACGAACAAGATCATTCTGCAGCACTGACCCAGACACGCCAGAGCTACGAAAAATTCAAAATGTCTGCACGACGTTCGATCGTCGAGTACGATAAATATCGATTCGATATGGGTGGCCTATCGAGAGTGACGGAGCACCGTCGACCCGTGAGGCTGCTCGGGCGGAAACTCGATTTATTAGGCCCCACGTCAATGACACACGGTCGAAATGAAACAGCAAGGGAAAGAACTATTTTTTCCATCGAGTACACAATTTGCATGTCGTTCAAAATTCAATCGTTTCGTTGGATATCCTACCGATCCACCGAAACATCCTACGCAACTATGCCCCCCCCCCTTTCCCCCGCCGAATGTTCGATATCCTATAGACTTTCCTTTCGTGCCTAAACAAACACGATTCCCGTAACACAAACCGTCCAGATATAAAAAAAAAAACAGGCCCCCACGACACGGAACCACCTTGAAACGAGCGGGGTCACTATATGTACATGTATATGCACAGTTTCGCGAGATCCGAGTTTTGGAACGGTCCTGATCCACCAAGCAAAGATAGAACGACAACGGTTTCGTCCAAAAAGTCAGGTTATATCACTCGCGTAACGTTGAATCTGGCAACGGATCAAACAGACTCACCGAGACGATGCTCTCTGGTAACTAGGTCCGGGTGATCATCGATCACTGGTTCCCCGTCGTCGCTCCAACGATATCTTGTCCCGTCCAACGAACCAAAAACTAAAGATGAGGATCAGGCACTGTTGGCGAGGACCACGACGGTTGTCGGCGATGATCGAAGCACACGATCAAAACGACACGACTGGATTGTGTTGTGTGTGTACATGTATAATGACCGTAGTGTGATAACTGAGGCACGAAAAGCGTGTATGTCCCCCTATCCCTGTGTACCCGTAATCCGTGCCCGTCGTAACGGTCGCACCAGTGTACTTGTTCCGTACCCGTGCGCGGCAAGTATCAGACTGAGGGTTGTTTCGGCGCGACTCAACGCGCGTCGCTACCGCACCGCCACCCCTCGACCAACCAAAGCGGCTTCTCGCCTAGACCACCGGTGTGTGTCTTTCGTTCTCTATGTATTCCGTCGACTATTGTCTCGCAAAGCTATTGGCTCCGAATTCGTGCTTTTTAAAGCTCTCTCCGTGTGGCACGCGTTACGTGGATCCTCGCACCCGTCCCGTGGCCTCCTTTGTCTGTTCCCCTTCCCACCAGTCTAGAGTTGCTTAACCTATCGTCCGATACTTCCCGTTTCCAATTCAACCAAGGAAGCCCCTATCACCCAATTCGACAGACTAATTGCTGGCTTGGAATTTCGAAAAAAAATTTCGACCTCGAGATGGTTTATCATGAATGAATAACTAGCTCGATCAGTGAAGAATCAAGGGGGGCTCTAGGGGGAGCTGTAGCCACGGTTGCCACGTTACAGGGGCACCCGTTTCATTTCGTTATGATTAAATGTTATTTAATTTTATTTAAAAGTAATTTCAATTTTTTAAGATTTATTTATTTTCTTGTGCTGTATTGCAAAATATCCACCCCCCCCCCCCATGCTAGGGGCCCTCCGAAAATCTGATAGCCCTGGGCCACAGAAAGTTTTAATCCGAGCCTGAGTACGATGTCCTCTTCGTTCGCTATTCTTTTCCTGCGACGAAACGAATCGCATAATACTATGATAACAATACCACGCACGTAACTTTGTAATTACTGCTGTATGAAATTCTCGCATATGTACATAAGTTAAAACCCGTTCGAAATTTTCGATAAGATTACAGGATAAATTGCACGATCGACGAGTAAAAGTACTCACTTCGTGGCTAGAACGTTAGACAATTCAGGGGACAAGGCGTAATAATGACTGCGTGTCGTTTCGCCAGGAGACTTTTCTTGTTTCTCGGATGTAAGTAGTCGATACGTTTTTTTATTTTTTTTTAGACACCACCATTATGCTACTTTCAATGTATTTATGCACGAAACGTTATCCATGCAGACATTTCGTACCGTTCGCAACTATGCCCAGTGAAAGCAAACGAATTCCAGCTTCCCTCGGTGGATCGAATAGTCGGTGGATCACCGATCGACATCACGAAGGTCCCGTACATGGCAAGTAATCCTTATTATTTTTCGTTCCTTACGTTTTAATTCGAGCTCCCTTACGACCGTTAAGAAATCATATATAACGATAATGGAGCAAAGTAGTTCCACCCAGTGCTGAAACAAGGGGGGTCTAAGGGCGGGGAGGGGGGGCTTTCGCCCCTGGACACAGGGTGCCCCGTTCTAAACCTTCCATTTCGTTATGATTAAATGTTATTTAATTTTATTTAAAATATATCTCAATTTTTTAAGATTTATGTACTTTGTTGTGCTGTATTACAAACAATCCATACCGCTTTTCAACCAAGGGAGCCCCCGAAAATCTAATAGCCCTGGGCCACAAAAAATTTTAACCGGGCCTGGTCCCACCGATGAACTTCTTCTCCGTGTACAGTTATCGTTCATGGTAAATGGCGACCACGTATGCGGTGCTGGTATCATTGGACGAGAATGGGGTATAACAGCGGCTCATTGCGTGATCGAGTCAGTATAGAAAAATTTCTTCCCGCGATAATGCGAATCACGTCGTACAGGACGATAATTCGACCGTTACAGATTCATCGATAGTCCTTACAACTTCGTAAGCGTTCGCAGCGGATCGAACAGGCACGATTACGGCGGGATCGTTCACAATGTCACGTACATGTCCTACCACGAGAAATACGATTCTGGCAACAATGATTACGACATCGCGGTGTTCAAGGTGGATCCGTTTTTTCGCTTCAACAACGTTACGCAACCGGCGAACCTGCCAGAAAACTCCCGGTTCTACGACACTGATTGGGGTTTGGTGGCCGGTTGGGGTGACTTCATCGTACGAAATCCTTTCGCAAAAGTCCTAAGGTCAATTTCCCTATTTCTAATCACTAGACTGCGGATTTTATGCATTTATAGCTTACTGGGCTCTGTGAAATACAATAAAAAACCAAATTTTCATCGGATCCAACGAGTTTTATATTTTAGTCTGAATCCGATAAGATACTTAAGAGGGAAAATAAATGTCTACAATTGCTCCTGCCTGTATGAATTACTTTAAAAACTTTTATTTGGAAATAAAAATCTGCAGTCTTCTAATCACCGTCCCGATTTCTGCTCAGTACGTATTTTTTTTTTTTTTATTTAGTGCAAAAAGTTAAATAACACATTGATTGCGCAAAAAATTATTTCAGTTTAATAGAAATAAATTTAATACGTGTGAAATAAATATAATACATGATTAGAAATAGGGACATTATTCCCAGGTCACTCCACACGAAATTGGACACATTTTAGAGCACCATTCTTTTTTAAATTGTTGATTTTACAGCTGTTTAAAATTTAGGGTCGACCATTTTTCAATCTCATTGTTACACTCATTATGATCAGTTTCTTAGGTATGATTTATTGAAAAAAGGTTGAGCCTAAATTTCAAACAGCTGTAAAACGAACAATTTTAAAAATTGTCAAAAATCCTGCGAGATACGTTTATATATCGCTAAAGACTGCAACATATCCAAATTTGAACAAAATCCGTAATGGTGCTCCAAAAATTGCCCGATTTAGCGTGGAATCGTTTCAAACGGAATCGTGGATTTTGTAGGATTTCGATCCGGTATTGTCGAACAACCTGCAGTACGTGATTGTGCCGAAAGTTTGCCGAAAACTTTGCGCGGAAGATTACCGAAATCGGTACGAAATCACGGACCGTCAAGTTTGCTATGGATTTCAGGACGGTGGAAAAGACTCATGCAAGGTAAGCGTCAAGCCAGGGCCATTCCTATGTTGTTGGTCGCCCGGGTGTAAAAACAGCTTCTACTACTTCAAAATTTTGCATTTGATAAACAACCTGCACTCCCGCCAGGAACGGCTCTGCGTCAACCATCTTTGTTTCAGAAATCCAAGATTACGATTGTCAACATTTCTGTACAGGGTGACTCGGGCGGTCCATTGGTCACCAAGAATTTCACCATGATCGGTATCACTTCGTGGGGCGACGATTGCGGTAAACCAAACTCACCGGGTGTTTACACCGATGTCATCGGCCTCGTGGACTGGGTCAAGAACAAGACGACTGTATAAATCTATTCCCGTCTGTATTTCGTGAACGGTGCCGTTTTATTGTTAGTAGGGGAAATCGAAGCAAATCGGTTCAAAATAAGAATTCAGTCCGTATTTGTTATACCCTCATGGAAACGAGCAAGGCCGTTCCTGGTTTGTTGGCCGTTCGGGTAGAAAAACAGTATCGCCGCCCTGATTGATTTACTATTATTCAATTAAGAATTTGATATCCAACGTTTACTTTTATGTATATATATAATAATGATAATAATAAAATATTCATTTTAAATAAATCCTTAAAAAATGGATGATTTTATTAAATTAATTTATACTAAATAATTAGCTTTCTAAGCTTGGACTATTATGTTTTTTACTATCAATCAAGAAATGATCCGATCGCCTCGATCTACCCTACACAGAAAAATTCTTTCACCGATCTATCCTTCGACATTCCGATTCGGTACGGTCCAGTCGATGGTTTCCCCGTCCGTGGAAATCACAAGTTTGCCCAGCTTGAAGTTCAAGATATTCATTTTCCTCAGGGCCATCAGTTTCTCGAACACCAGCCGATAAAATCGTGGCAAACGATCGTAACCACCAGCGTCCGCCAGCGAATCGTTGTAATCCCATTGTTTCTCCATTAACTTATGCGCGTGCCGTTTCTTCGCCGTTTTCAGGCTCGAATCCTCCAACATAAACGATCTCGGTGGTAGACTCGTTCGGTTCTCCAACACCGCGAGAAAGTATTGTACCTGAGAGAAATTTACGTTGACCTTAGAATCGGTTTTACGGCGGTTTAGTTCGTGAAAAAATATACACTAGATTCTATACTTGTATGTGAAACAAGGGAAACGGTAGGACGAGAGAAAGGAGTCCAACGAAACACATCGTCGGATGATCGATGTTCACGAGATGTTTGTACAGGGGAGTTACGTAATTATCATCCACGCGTATTCCACAGTTCTCGTGCAGAAATGGAAAGCTCTGTTTGTACCCGGTACAAAACATGAAAACGTCAGCAGTGACGGTGGTTTGGTCCATTAAAATGAATCGTTCACCCTCTATTCTGTCCACGCCCGTCACCTGAACCATGTTCGTCGGCAATGTAACCGTCCACCTATTTGTTTGAAATGCAAACGTGCAATTATCGTGTTTACAAAAATCGGTTCCCAACGGGGACTTAAACCGGTATAATTTTTATACCGGTATTATGCCATCAAAGCTATACTAAAACCGATATACAGTGGACTCTAACTATATTGCCACTCTATATGGAATTTAGCATGTAGGGAACTCTAAACTCATTGCCATTTTACTCCCGTACAGCGTCGACCGTGGCAATATAATGAGAGTTCATTGTATTACGAAAAACCGAAATAAATACCGGTATTTTTTAGGTTTCTATAAGGGTGGGGCTTATATAGGGTTATATAGGACGAAGGTTTAATCGAAAATATCGGTATAATACCGGTATTTCACGTTTCGTTAGAAGTCCCTGGTTCCTAGTGAGTATACTAGTGTATACGTTCGATACCTTTCGGTGTTGTGGCTTAAATATACCCGTGACGCGTGATGAGTCAAATCGATCCCAATATCGATTCCGGAAGCGGATGCTCCTAAAACCAAAACAGTCTTTCCGGCGAACACGTTTGGTTTACGATACGAATGACTGTGTATTATTGTCCCTGGAAATGTCTCAATCCCAGGTATGTTCGGCACGTACGGCTCGAAGTAATGTCTAAATCATTCGGATAAAGAAAATACGATACAGATTCACTATAAATTCCGTGGACGAAACGTTGCAGAAATTTTGAACGTACCCGTTGCAAATCATCATGACATCGTAAACAAGCTCTTCCTCTTCGCCAGTTTTCAACCTTTTTATTCGAACGACCCACTTGTCCTCGCCACCGGCCGATTCGTCCACTCGAACGGACGTCACTATCGTGTTGAACTGCAACGTTACAGTAGAAAATTTGATATCCCTGGGCCGGCAAAATCTTAATCCAGGTCTGAATAATCGTGTAGAACAAGTCAGGACAATAATCAAGAGGTGTCTGTATTGCATTCACCTGTATATGTTTGAGCACGTCGAAATGCTCCGCGTAGCATTTCAGATAGTTCAAAACCTCCTGGCGCAGGACGCAGCAAGGCTCTTCGGCGTTCATTGCCGGATAATCGGGGAAGTTCATGATTTTCGCGGGTAAATTCGTTCTGTAATGGAACCGCAAGTTTTTAATTGAAAAAAACAAACGTAATTATCGTCTCGTGTCGATCGTGAGTATAAAATCGAACCTGAGATCCTGGTACATGCTCGAGTGAATAGGCAAACCGTGCTTGTCCAGTCCAGTCTCCTCGACGTAAACCCACGTGCCACCGACATTGTCTGTTTGCTCGTAAACGTCCACCTCGAACTTTAAGTGTCCCCCAAAGTGTCTGGCAGAGCACAAACCCGCTGCACCGGCTCCTATCACGCACACCTTTTTCTTCCTCTGTCGCTCGGTCATCTCTGTACTCGGGCGTATTCTACGATTAAAAAATTATATCGAAATATCCGGGGCCCAAATCATTCACGGTCAAAAGATTTTCCCATCTCATTCCGAGAATCAAAGATTCACTAACCAGAATTACAGCTCTATCATATACCCTTTTTTAATTATATCATTGCAATGTCTTGTACTTGATAGTTATTACAGTTTATTCTACGTTCTTTAAGCATTCAATCCCACGTTTAGAGATTGAAAAAGATTTAAAATGATACTGTAAATTTGATTAATATATGAAAATAATTCAATTTCGAATAATGTTTGCCGTTCCGACCATAAGGTACTGTGCAAATTCCGGCAAGAATCATTCGCTCGGGAAAATCAATTTATTTTACCCGTGGCGCCATCCGTGGCAAAACGCTGAAACTGGTAGACAAATTTTACCGACTAGTAAGTGAACGCGAGGCGACGGTGGCGCCGCCCGCGGCAAAACGCCCAAGCTTCTAGGCAAAATAGTTCGCTGCCCTCCCGCTAGATGGCGCCACCGTCGATTCCTCTTCACTTACCTGTCGGTAAAATTTTCCTACTAGTTTCAGCGTTTTGCCACGGATGGCGCCACGGGTGAAATCATTTGATTTTCCAGAACAAATGATTCTTGCCGGAATTTACACAGTACCTTATGGTCGGAACGGCAAACATTATTTGAATCTCGATTACTTATTCCAATTACACTTACAGCCTTATGTGCATAGGTTTTGCATCATAAAAACAATACATAAATCTTGAGAAACGTGAATGGATAGTAGTTGCTAAATAAAAAGAATTAAACAAATTAGCACAAATTAGGAATACTAGAACTGAAATCTGTTTGTGTACGCAATAGCGTGCCAGAAAAATTCACCAAACAATCTGACACCTTTGAAACATGTATTTAATTATCATTTGCGTAACTTTTCTGCATTTTTCCTTATACCTATCCCGACCATTGAAATTCAGTATGTACCATTGTATACCACGGCGTAAAAAAGCTCTAATTTTTGTAGCTAATGACTCTCGCATTGTCGGAGTCAGTCAGAGTAGGGCGCACGACTGTTTTGACCACCGATACACATATTTTCATTCCTTCGGAACAGCTGGTTCGAATAAATTTTAAAACCTTTCAGAATCCATTACAAACAAAGGATGGCGGAGATCAAGATTTGAAATTTGTATCGTTAAATCACAGATCTAATCGCCTTTTAATCAATTTGTTCAGTTCTTTCGGCTTTAACCTAAATATAACAAAATTTCCAGAAACAATTATATCTATTGTATAAAAAATCGAAAAATTAAGAAACCATGTTTGCAAGTTATCAACTACAACTCGGATGTCAGTTCTTTTCGAGATTCAGAACCACGAACTTTCGTGGCATTGTCGATCGTAAGATTAGTACCACTTACTTGACATAAATTAAAACACGATGTCTTCTTCGTCTACTCTCCTCAACTAAACTATATCTTTTACTCGGTTTTTTAGCCACTTTATATCTTAACTAAGCATAAATAAGGGGGGAAATTACGTAAACAGAGCAAAACAGTTGACAACGGAAATAATAACGAATAAACCACAAACCCACTATCACTGTATTATCAACATAATTTCAATATTATATTCGTGTGTCATGCATGATAGGCAATTGTCTCGCCAAGTGTGCCGCGATAAAGTGATAACAAAACAGTTCAGACGCGTACAATTAACTATATGAACGTGATCAACGATTAGAAGTAAAATATTTATTGCGTTATTCCTTAATAACATTATCGTGTAAATAATCGTAACGTTAATCTTACGGTCTATATTAATGATCGTGGTGAATCCAGTTATACCTAGTACTGAGCAATTAATTGTAAAGAGTCTATGTTACAGCGACACATATCTCTATGTATAGATCTCAGTCGACGCATCGTATATACCACACTCAAACGAGAGTTACCGTGTATAAAAAATGTTCTCTCTCTCACACATTTCTTCCCCATATAACATTCGTTTAGTAGAACAGTACAAATGTAAATGCTAAACGCGAATTGTGGACGTCGCGTAGAATACATGGAATTACCTCTAATCGGACTTTGCAACCGGTTGCAAACAGTATCTCAAAAAGTAAATCGTTTTGGTTTCCATAGGGCAGAATCGGCGAGTCACGGGAGGGAAGCCAATAATACGTCCCTCTCGAAAGTTCTATGTAAAAAAAAAAAAAAAAAAAAAAAACAAAACACACACACACACTTATTTGCGGTTGCATGGCAAAATCGTTTCACGATTTGCCTGCGTTCGCGCGTCACTCCAATATTCGTCGTTTTTCCGGATGAGTTCTCTTACCGGACTAGAAAAACATCACTCTCGCACGCGGATCGTGGAACAAACAGTTCGAATACACAGTTTCTTCGCTAGCTTTGTAAGAATTATATACAATATATGTATATGCAGGGTGAACCACCTAACTTTGCCACCGTTAATTATTCTCTTATTTGTCACGGTACAAAAAAATGGTTCGGGAGAAAGTTAGTGTATTTTAGGGGTGAAATTAAGCTATGAGATTGAAGGTCATCGTGACAAATAAGAGAATAATTAAGGGTGGCAGAGTTAGGTGAGATACCCTGTATATTATCCATGGACACGCGTGGATGTTTCTAACCGACAACGACCGATAAACTGCTGGGTACCTCTGAACCCTTTTACGCGTCGAAGATTCGTCGAATTCTGTACTCTCGAAAACATACTGACAATCCATTTAAAGAACTTAAAACTTAACTCATAATATGAATACGTAAAATGAACTCGACCTAAAAACGAACAAGTACAATGCTCCGCCAAAATCCATCGAACACGCGTTAAGGTACGAAGAAACCACGTTTCCTTTGAGGAACCGCCAAACGAGAATATCTTTTGTCTTTCTATCCCTTTCTTTTCTTTTTTTTTTCTCTGCTTCGCCCGAGAGAAGTTGTGGAATGAAGCAATTTTCCATTGAAAATCGAAATAAATATGATAAATAACCCGATTTGCATTCCTGGTTAATAATAAAAAAAAAAAAAAAAAAAAACAAACGCTTCGTCGTTTGAGCCTCAATGTGTGAGAGGTCGATCCGTAGTGTTCCATTCGGAAGACTAATTTCTTCATGCTCGATTTTTCTAATGCCACTCTCCTTCGACGATCCATCAAATTATAAAACTCGACGAAAACAATATATCACCTGTAAACATTTCAACGCAACAAACAGATCAACAAATAATCTCGTCCCCCGATTATCTCCCATTCTTTGCTTGTTCTCAGTCTATTGATCCTCCGCATACATCTTATGTACGTATAGTATATATAAATCTATATAAGTATGCGTCCACGGGTCGAGATACGATTCGTCATATTAAATACGTATCGGCAAAAAAAAAAACGAAATTCGTGCAATTGGGTACAAATACATATACCCCCCCTTAAGTTGACTAAATCGAACGAAATCGACAAAATTGATTCGATGCACCGATTCGTCGACACTGTTTCTTTTCTTGCCGTTGTATATATTACAATGCTTCGCTTTCTAATTTCTGCGATATAAATACACTTTCGATCGTGTACAACGTTCGCGACGATACTCTAAAACACACTGTGATTAAGGCTACTGTGGAAAATTCGACGGGAAGCGACGTTTCCTTTCATTCGTTTGTTTTTTTTTTCCTATTCTCTGTTCGTGCCGTTCGCAGTGGCTCTCGCCCGATTAACATCTATAAATTACGTATTCGTTAAATCCACGTGAAGTTCCATAGAAGTTCGAACGTTCGAAATCTCTCCGCGGGATGCCCGCGCAATTCGACGCCACCGATACTCGTGTGGGTTCCTTCTGCATCGTCGAATTCTCGGCTAACAATCCCGTTTACGAGCGATTTTTCACGGAATCTCGCGGTAACTAGTATAATAATCTGAAATCTCTCCGAAATAGGATAATCCGGGAAGCGTTTAACGAACACTGTTGGACCGTACCGTAATATAGACAAGATATAGCAGTAGTCATTTCATCCAATGTATTTGTTCGTCCCACTTTTCTGGGGCGACGTCGCCCCAGTTCCATTTTAGTGTCACTACCCACCGCAGATTCACCGTTCTCATAACGTAGATGTCGCTAAAATCACATGCTTTTTTAAGGTGTCGGTACTACAGTTTCGGTGGGCCATCAACTCCTATCAGATGAAACGTCTACTCTTATATCTCGTCTGTGACTGTAGCTTCCGACGAGCAGCTACGACGACTGGGGCAGTACGTTTAGATTTATAACTGTAACCGTGACCCCAGTACGCCGTCGTTACGTTTGTAAAACCTTCGTACTCCAAGAATATATATATGGACACATAATATGTATGTACGCATGCTTTGGCAAATGTCCTCTTTCCTTGTTTCCTCGACTCGGTTACGCGATAACTTTCGTGTCTTCGCGTTTAAACTGTACACGTACGTATTCCGGCATCGCAAGCGGACTCGAGCGAAAGTTCCACGTAAAGAGTACCCATCGAATTTCCCTGGGCGTTTCGAAACGAGATACGTCGACGGAAATTCCGTTCACTCGCCGATACGCGCGTCTTCGCGTTCCACAAACGGAAATTACGTCTTGCCAGGGTGAGACAGACCCATAAGAATAAACAGTATTCAAACGGTATGACAGTCGCAAAGTCACTCCTCGTATCGTGGGCGCGTTACAATAATTCAAAATACATCGGTTATCCCCGGTCGCTTCTATATATACGTATAATATGTACAAAATTCCTTTTGTCGAGGATGATTGCAGATAAGCAAGGCTGGCCTAGACGGGCCCGAAACGGACACGAGTCAGAAAATCAATATACAAACGACAAGAGAGAAAAAAAACAAAAGGAAGAGAATACACGATGGAGAAAACCGAAAAGAAATATTTTATACAAATATACTCCTTTACATCTACACGGACTCGCATCTCAACCACGAATTCGCGATTCGAAAAGAGATTATCTCTCTCTCTCTCTCTCTAACAATGCCTGTCCGGGACTATTACGTCGTGTGTGTGACGCGGGCAATCATACATTGTGTACATATATTTGGCGTAAACCTTTGATTCGTAGTGTTGAACGTGTTTTTATTTACTAAAATATAAATCCGTGTGCATTCTCGATAGAAGAACAATCGATCGGCGGTAGTTTAGCGGTGTTTTACACTTGGTGAATTTATTTCAAATACTGAAATAAATCTTAAACCGAATGTTTATTTCGCATAAATTTCAGTAACTCCGAGACCAAGTGGTAGGAGGCCTTTCCCTTACGTCACATTTTCCCATAGCGGAAACCGAGTTTGCTCGTGAGGATACGTATAAAATAGCTAATGCATCGTTCGAACAAATTAAGACACCTCTGTCCCGTGCGTGCATTCCTACCCCCGATCGTACAACGGACGATTACCTTCGAATTGACGAAATGATTCTCGATTCCTAGTTCGATATACGTGTGTATAAGACGTAGAAAAAAAATCGGTTCGCTACGCCGCGTTATCGTGCAGCGCAACACCGCCATATTCTCGGCGGTCCAACGAGAACTACTTTCAGTTGTTCCGGGATTTTCGGGATCGGGCGGATTTCGTCGATTGTACCGGGTTACATACTCTCGATATATATGTATATATATCGTAAGAAATTAATTACATTCGCATGCGAAGACTATACGCGCAGTTCAACGTACAGAATATACAGGGTATTCCGCTTAAAACAGCCCACCTAAATATCTTCTCTATCTGCGATCATACGAGAAATGTTTTTTACGTAATTTAAATGGTCTAAGAGACGAATCAGATGGTAAAAAAAATTATATAATTGAATTTAACATTTTCAGAAGTAAATTTTACATTTTTAGAGTGCAAGGCCATTTCAAGGTCATACTATCATACATGGATAAATGTGTAATAATGTTGACTCTAACATACGACAGGAAAAAATTACGTGAATATACGTAAAAAAACATGGGTGACTTTGAAAAAAAACTATTAATATAAATGACTATTAAAGAATTTTTACCGCCATCCGATTCGTCTCTTGAAACTATTTAAAATACGTAAAAAATATTTTTCATATGATCACGGATAGAGAAGATATTTAGGTGGTTTGTTTTAAGGGGAAGACCCATGTATATGTACCGCGTTAAAAATTATTTCGGCCATGCTCTGGCAAAAAAACCCACGCCTTCGAACATTCTACATTTACGAAGGTGAGCGTTCTGTCGTTTAGCTCTTCCGGTGACGCGTATCACTGAGAAGAAAAAAAACAAAATCGTTTTCGATACGACAACGATCTGCGCCATTGCAGAAGTACCTTTATCTTGTTTCTATATAGTATACAATTTTCCGTTTTGTTTCTCGTCTTTTCTCTGCTACGGACGATCGAAGCACGTTTATTCCGTTAACGAGACTGATCGCCAAAAAGGAGCACAAACAACACACCTCCCCGTTACGTTTCACGTGTGCCACGCGTGCGTGTCTCTCTGTTGCTTCCGTGACTCGTAACGAGAAACGAAATATTGGAAGATCCGGATTGTATGTACGGTAACGTTGACGGTGAATTCTACACGTTAACCCTCGCTCACCGAAGAAAGGGAACTGCGCGTCGAACCGGCCGTATGATGGGTCAAGTCTGGAAGATCCGTGGGCAAACACAACGGTATCGCGCTCGGTCCGTAAATCGCCTCCTGTTCCTCCAGCTGGAGAGCAAACTGCTCCTCCAATCTCTGTAACGGAATGTCAACGAGCTTTTAGAAACGAAACACAGGTAACATGTGTCGGTCACGAGGGAACTGAGACGTTCCCACGCTGTACCAGGCACCGATTTTCACAAGAAACTGACTCAAGTTCAATGATCATGGAGCTGATCGTTGTTACTAATAATTTTGTAATTTTCGATAGCTTATTGTTACTGTAATCGCATCAACAGATCTGTTATTTGACTGACCTTGTTCCATTACCCTAGTAGACACACCGTTCTGATATCCACTCGTGGAATCTCTTTTTTCTCTCGACGATTTTCGTCGGTTAGGTTCCATGTATTTAGGAGTACGTAACAACGTATGGGGGGATATAGTAATAGAATCGAACGTACACATTGGGAGAACGATAAGTATACAACATATATAGCAATTACCACAATTACCACCGACTCACCCCTGTTGTGTTATAATCGTACAGTTTCAGCTGACCAGTCGAAACACTGTTACCGATAATACGATCGACGATGTAAGTATCTATATAAAGGAATATACAGGGTTGCCCAAAACTCACTGCACAATTTTAAAGTGTAATAACGTTTTCCAAAGAGTGCGCCACTGTCAAGAACAAAACGATGGCCATTTAAAAGGCATAACAAAACTATAAAAGCATTATCGTAAATTTTTAAATACGCAATAAAGTTATTCTATTTTTAAATGGTCTAGTGACTTTTGGGCCACCCCGTATAAAGATGACCGCGAAGCAGCGTCTCCCGTTCGGTCGAAAAGCATACATTCTTGTCGTAGGGAAACGACGAATCTAGTCGATAGACGAATTTATGAGTATCTGGAGCCGTTTGAGTCCGCTGTGACATCGCGAGTTGTTTTCGAACCGAACGTTTGACGCGAACTTTACGAACACATTATCTGCGATTGCACGAAAAATTCGCTACATAATGACACAACACGGAGCACGAATTCAATGGGAAGTTAATCAATATGCCAACACATTTTCTCCCACATTTCGATGCTCGGGACAACAACTATGATTTCTATCGAACAGTGAGAAGCTCCTGTTTTTCTTCGTTTTTTTTTTTTAAATACTTGTATATACATATATATATATATACTCGTTGAATCTTTGTTACTCACGTAATGTGTCTAAAAATATACAATGTTATAAATTAATGGATCTCCATAATACGCATATACAGACTCCTCTCGATTATCGTTCCGAACTTGGGTCTGCGCCAGGACAATAATCTTATAGGGAGAAATGCTTTAGACCCTCGTAGATTAATTTTTTTTTGCCAGGAGCCTGAGCCTAGGCAACAAAAACAGAGAGACAACAAAGTATGCGCTTGATTGGTTCCATGCCTTCCCCCCCCCCCCCAAGTGGTGGAGATAACGCATGGACAATAATCGTGTAGAACAAGCCGGACGATAATCGAGAGGAGTCTGTATACCATTAAACGTGGCTTTACGTGTTATTCGACCTTCGTGCGAGCCCCTAAAATGTTTATACATACGTGATACCTTCTTTCTAGGCTTGGTTACGAACAATATATTATTATATATATGTATATCAAGATGTATTAAATGTATACAGGGTGTTCCGCTTACAACAGCTCACCTAAATATCTTCTTTATCTGTGAGCACACGAGAAATACTTGTTACATAATTTAAATTATACATGGATAAATGCATAATAATGTTGGCTATAACATACACCAGTTAAAATTACGTGCACATACGTAAAAAAAACCATGGGTGACCATAAAAAAACTAACGACTCTTTTAAAGAACTTTTGCCGCGATTCGATTCGTCTCTTGAACCCATTATTAAATTACGTAAAAAATATTTCCCGTATGATCACAGATAAGGATACTTAGATGGCCTGTTTTAAACGGAACACCCCGTATATATTAAAGCAGATAGTGAGTAAAGCGGAGATGGTTATCCTTCGATGCTAAAGACACGATAACAATAGAGAAGTTTCAAAGTAACCTCGTTCGGAGCAACAACCAGAAGTTACAAAGAATTCACGATAGAACTAGAGCAAAGAAAGAAAAAAAAAACACACAAATATTAACCAAACATTTTTACTTGGAAACTTCTACGAAAGGGACAAAGGACACGAAGAGGCCGGAAAACGAATCAATTGGAGCGTTATCTACGAGGCGAGGAGGAGGATGATGGCACCAAGTCCGGTTTGGAGTGGCTTCGCGAAAGCATGCCGTTTACGGAATTGGTGTCAGAGCCGCCGACTCTCAGCGACACCCTCGGAATAGTGAACGGGGACGGTGATGCGGGGGTGGAGCGGGGCATACGGGGCGGCGATTTCTTCCAGCTTTCGAAATGAAGGATGTTAGAATAGTCTAGAGGGGGAAAAGAGAGACCACTAAGACCCGAGGGCAAATAGTCTCGGTAGCGAGCTTCCAACGCTTCCATTTCAGCCGTCAGCTCAGCCTCTAACCTCTATAACAAGTACATTAATACTTATTTCAGTATGGCCGGTATCCGGGCACCCTTTCAGAATTTATATGACGATCGAAGTTACAACGGTTTCGTACCTCCTCTTGTTTTCTTTTTTTTTTTTTTTGTTTCGCTGTAATGGGCCGATCATAATAATCCGGGAGCCAGTGAACTTTTTTCTTACTGTCATTTGATTACAGCTGAAAATTTGTGAGGATTTAGTTAACTTACAAGGGAAGCCACGGAAGTGTCCTCCTCCGATTTTGATGAAACTTCGTATGTCTGCTAAGCAGTCAAAAATAACGGATACGTATTTTTTTTTATCGGTTGAGACGTGACTTTAAGGGGTGAAACCACCGAAGCCTCACTAAAGCTTCACAAATTTTCAGCTGTAATGAAATAACGTAAGAAAAGAGTTCACTGGCTCCCAGACTATAAGGAGGTTTCCGATATACTAATGCAAATAAGAGAACGCAAAACTGGTACTACTCGCGAGTATTCCTAGCGACCTCTATAATCTGCAGAGCGGAGAAGGATCGATAACACTGTTCAACACAATTTTTGATCTGCAATATCCATTGGAAGACCCTTGTTTAGTTTCTCGTCCAGATCACGAATCCGGAAGCAAAATTTCTGCATCACCCTCAGTTTTTGGAAAATATAAACTTTTGTAAAAACACCTGATTTCGGCCAAAAATGACGTATTACGTGAAAACTAAAAACGCTTGAAAGTTTAATTTGACCTTGAAAGATACAGGAGAGTTACAGGAAACTCTCCTCTACATTTCAAAGTTAAAATGAACTTCCTAGCGGCTTTAGTTTTCGCGTAATACGTAATTTTTGGCCGAAATCGGGTGTTTTTAAAAAAGCTCATGTTTTCCAAAAACTGAGAGAGATGGAGAAATTCTGCTTCCGAATTCGCAATCTGGACCAGAAATTCTACAAGGATCTCCCAATGGATATTGCAGATCGGAAAAAAAGTTTGAATTTGTTGGACAGTGTACGAACGGAATTACGCGCGCTCGATAACTCTACAGGATAAGAAAAGAAAATAAAAGAAAAAAAAAAACTGAAGAAAGACAAAAGGGAGAAAAAAAACCAAGAGTGCAGAATGATAAACAGTAGAGCGATACAAATGTCGTTTTTACCTGTTTCCGAGGCTTCAATTGCGCTTTCCATTCGCGCAGCTCCCGGCTGTAAGTTTCCTCCAGCTCCTTCAGCTTCATCGTTTCGTGCTCCATCAGCATTTTTCTCTTCTCATTCTGCAGCTGTTCCAACTCTTTGATGGTCGCGTCGCTTTGCGCTCTTACCTCCTCCAGTTGCCTGGAGTGCTTCAGCTCGAATCGTTGCTGTTCCGCTCTGTACCTCTTCTTCTCGTTCTCCTGGAACTTCTTCAATTTCTCCCTCTCGGCGTCGGGATCCGGCGCGATCACGGACGATATCGAGATCCTCATCGACTCCCGGAACATCATCTCCCGTGCCTTCATCTCGTTACGGATTCGTTTCGGTAGATTTCTGCGTTCGACCGTCTGTCGCTTGACGAGCTCCTCCTCCTTCCTCTGATTCATACGTTTCATTTGTTCCAGTTCTTTCTCGTGCCGTATAAGCATCTGATGCCTCTGCAGGAAGAAAATGTCCTTTAGCTGTTTCTTCAGCAGCTGCTGTTTCTCGTGTATGTGCCGTTCCTCTTGCTCCCAAATGGCCGCCTCGCGGGCTCTCATCAGCTGTTGCTTCTGCTGCAGGAATTGCCTCTCCATCAAGGCGATCTTCTCGCGATGACTGTCCGACAGCCTACGCAACGACACCTCGTGACTCTCGTTCAGCTTGTCCAAGAAATGCTTCTCCCTCTCCTCGTGTTCCATCTCGAGCTTCTCCTTTCGTATTTTGAACGCGCTCAACTGCTTCAGTTCCCTTTCCTGCTCGCCGCGAATCTTCTTCGACGCGAGCCTCAGGTCCGCCTCCTGCTGCGCCTCCGCCCGCTCGATCTGTTGCCTCTGTTGTCGTGCAAGCGTCTCCAAATCGGTCTCGGCGTTTCGCTCCAGGAGCTGGCGTTCCTGCTCGAAACGTTTCTCTTGTTGATCCTTGTTGAACTGCGCTTTCTGCGACAGATCCTGGAACTGCTTCTGCTCCATCTTCTGCAGCATCTTCAACTCCCTCAGTTCCTGCTTCCTGAAGATCTGATCGTCGTATACTTTCCCGTTCTCGTCGTCGCCGTATATCACTTTCGACGTGGTCGTCGTGACCACGACGCCGTCTATCTCGAACTTTCTCGTCCGTTTCCGCGTCTTTTTCTTCAGATTCATCATCTGTATGTCCTCTTTCGTTTTCGTCGGTCGTTGTATGTCGCGAGCGTAATCGGGCTTCCGCCGCAACACCACTTCCTCCTCCGTTTCCGGCGTTTGTCCCTGACCGATATGATTCTCCTTGTTCGATTCTCTGCTGTCCTGACTGATCGTGGTGGAGATCGACTCCGCGTCGGACCGATCTATACTCTTGCTCGGCGTGTGAGATCTCGTCGATCCGGACTCGCTCTGTGATCTGGATCCCTCGAAGCTGTCCGGTGATATACGTTTCTCCTTGTAAACCTTGCCCGCGTCCTTCTGTTTGATCGTCTTCATAACCTTTTCGTCGACGCGATTCACCGAAGGCTTGTTGTCGTTCTTTATCAGACCGTTTATCTTCTTCGTGTTTCTGTCCACGTCGTCGACATCCACGGCTTCGACAGTCGTTCCAGCGACTATCATTTTCGTTATTTCGTCCCCGCTGTCGCTCTGCAACGAGGCTGTCCGAACGGCGTCGTGTTTGTTAAGTACGGAGGAGTCTTTCACTTGTTCCTTGTCCTCGCCGACGGTGACCACGGAAACGTGACTAGTGTCCTGCAATTCGTCTACAATTGGGCTCACGATCAGCACCTCGGATTCGTCCAACTTCTTGCCGACTCTCTTGGACGTGTCGGTGAGAACGATCGGTTGCTCCTGCGGCGTGTATTCTAAACTGTCGAGACTAGGAAATCCGTCGTCGTCGGTGGAACTTTCGTTGACTTGCGTCTTGTTCAATTCATTCGCGACGATCACGACTTCGGACGTTGGAGATGGACGTGAAGAAAGAGTCGCTGCGGGCGACACCGCGTCGACCAACACCGGCGGATGCGTCGTCACGACTGTTACTTGGCTTATGTTACTTGCCAGACTGTTCGATAAATCTGGACTGTCGGCCGTAATCCGGACGGTTGATGTATTTGGACGTATATCTTGGTCAGTTTTACCTAGAAATTGTATTACATATTTGTAAACACTTAAAGGGATGGCAAGGTTGTGGAAATCGCTTTTGGAACGGCACTATGTGGAAGTTATTAGGTTAGGTTTGGGTTAGATCTTTTTGGATTCGAACTCGGGTCCGCAACGTGGTAAGCAGGTACTCTACCAACCAGACTGCTTGACACGTGCAAAACTATAAACAAAAATATCTCGAAAACCGATACCCATTCTGTGGAAATCCATGAGGATTTTTTACTATTATATGTGTACTATAATGTTCACATAGTGCCGTTCCAGAAGCAATTTCCACAACCGTACCTTCCCCTTGTTAGAACCGGTGATAATTGGCGACAAATTGTCGGCACTGCTACATCGAAAATATAGAAACTATAAAGCAAAGTTTCGCGTTTCTTACCAGTAATGACAACTACGTTGTCCCCGCTGCCTCTTCTAGAAGTACTTCTACTTCTAATAGGTGTCGACGTGATCACTGACACGTTTACCGAAGAGCCTCTCTTTTCGCTGTTTAATGCATCGTTCGCGGCATTCTCGTGACTCTGTTCCTTGTTCAACCACTTCTTCTTTTCTCGCCGGCCATCGAATTCCTCCGGGAAGTTTTCCAACGAATCGTACCTGGATGATCCTTCGCTGTGACTTTTAATAACCGTTTCCCCTTTACACATTCCATAATCTGTTTTGATGTTTTCGGTGGAACAAGCCTTGATGATATTCTTCTCGGACGCGATCGCATTTGGAGTTTCTTGGCGCGTCAATGTCTCTAAAGACGGAACATTCCTCCGCATTTCCGAGTCCATTGAGAAACGTTTTTCTAAAACTGCATTCAACTTGTCCTCGACTGATTTTCGTTTCTCTTGCAGGCTCTTGCGATTCTCTTCCGTGGAAGACTGTCGTGTCACTTGCACGTCGACAGCGGCTTTTTTGTAGATTCTAAAATCAATCAGACACGTTTTGATCTCGATAACATTAATCGGTATTAAATATAAAATGAAAAAAAAAAAAAACATTTGAAAAGGCAATTTATAGAAATAAACACGCACCTGTTTTTTTCTTCCAAAGAGGACTGTTTATTAAACACCGGCTTCGTCCAATCTTCTGTCAATTCTGGTCGAACAGGTGCAGATTTTCTCTTTTCTTCCGAAGTTAACTGAGTCCTCAACGATGGATTTGCTTTACTATCTATCGATTTTTTTCTAACGTCGACTTTCTTCTCATTATCCAAATTATCCTTCCCTTTTTCGTTACCAGCTGTTATTTTCTCTAAACTACCTTTAACGTTTTGCTTCTCATTGAGTGTGTCTGTATTTGTTTGTTCCCTTTCTATATCTGTACTCTCTGATAATGCAGTTTTCTCTCGCTTATTTTCATCGGCAATCTTACATTGATCTGATATCTCGACAGCACTTTGTTTATCGAAGATCTTCGAACTATTTTCCTTGTCATCGTTTTTGCTATCCTGACGCATTAGGGGTGGAGGAGGTGCAGGACCTTTTTCCCGTGATACTCTACGTTCATTGATTTCACTTGTACTAGGGGGTTTAGGTGCCTGGAACATAGATTCGTATATTGTCGATATTCGCAATTAAAAATATAAGCAGATAATGTAAAATAGTTACTTGTTTCTTCTCAAGAGACACAGGTATGTTCTCTTTCGATTCCGCTTTCCGTAATTTCTTATTCCTGTCCTCCTTTTCACCATCTCTATTGATCTCTCTTTTGTTGCTCTCTTCTTTTTTCGCGGATACGGGTGATGCGGCAAGATTTTCTTTCTCAGAGACTAAAAGAACATTAATCGATTTACCAATTTCATTTTGTTTTATGTAGCTGTCGTATCAAGATTAACACTTACTCTTAACATCAGCGTCACTGCGCATAGATGCAGAGTCATCTCCGAGTTGATCCACCTCCAGAGGAAGCTGTGATGTGCGCTGCTCCTGAAATATTTATTTATATTGTATTCGTACAGTAAAGTTCGATCATTTAATTATAGTGCCCGGATCAACAAAATATGTATTTTCTATCCTGAAAACCGCGTGATGTCTCAAAGAGATTAAAAATTCTGTAAAATAACGAAAACATTACTATACGCGTCGATATATCAGATAAAATGAATGTAACATTAATAATCAAAATCTAAACATGACCGCCGAGGTATATTACATATAGCTTATGCATTGCAGTCAGAAAAGGAGGGAAAAATATAATGAAAAATTATAGTGATACACGTAAAACCATGACATTATTCAAATCAAAGTAGACAGCACTTATTGCATAAGCTACTGACCTGACAAATGCAGGGGTGATGGGGCTGGCGAGGCCCAGGAGAGCCGCATGCACAGCCAAATTATCCAAATTACAATAACATATTTATTAGGATGTCATAAGATTAAATATAGAAAAGAAACGTAAAGAATATTCTAGAAAATTTTATTAAATCGCGATCCTGTAGAAAGATGTGAAACGAATATGGAATGTAAGAAAAATCGGAAATGCTCATTCCCTTTAAATAAAAACCATTTTGCCATATTAATTTGGCAAATTAAGAGTAAAAGATAATTAAACATCAAGTATCGCATGCACGAATGTACTTCAGAGAATTATTAACATTTATCATGCATGAGTACATAAAATGTAATTATATATCTTATAAATGATTTCACGTTAATGAGACGTAAGAATGCAAACAAAACTATTTGGTCCTACGTATAACCAATCATCTGGAGTGTAAACGAATATTCTCTAATTTATTTATTACTGAACAACAACTAATACGTTTATATGTTTCATTCAAAAGCAGCTTACCAATCCGCTGATATTGTTCTCTGTGCTTTTTCGCCTTTTTAGCCTTCTATCAAAACGAAAGCGTGTAACAATGTACATACACAAATATGTTAATTCTAACTATCAATTTGCAGAGAAAAAGGTTAACTTTGCCTAAATGATTCTGATAACTCTGTGTATGCAGTATAATAAATTCAGTTTCTCCATTATTAAACGTAATTATCGTTGAAATTAACTGAAAAACAAAATCTACCTCTGCTTCCTCATCGACCAATTCCTCTTCGACGACGTCCGCTTTGTACTCCAATAACAAATCCCGAATCGGTTTCGAATCCAAATTACGATTTATGAATGAATACTTTAATAATTCCTCAGCTGTAGGTCTTGATGTTGGATCCTTTATAAGAGCTTTTGCAATAAATTCGTTGAAGTCTTTACTCCATTTCCCAGGTTGATCGAGTTTCGGTGGATCGCTCTTTTGTATTTTAAGAAGTACCCGCATTGGTGACATTTCATGATTCGGTGGTTCCATTTGCGCGAATTCAATTAGAGTTATTCCAAGAGACCAGATATCTACCTAGATATCAGAAAAATACAACACAAAGTTAAAAGTACTCTATAATTACCTGCTAGATAATTAATACGTTGCGTTTATAAATCGAAAGTTCCATACTTACTTTGAAATCATAAGGATTATCTCTAAATGTTTCGCATAATACTACTTCTGGTGCCATCCAATATGGTGTACCAATAAACGTATCGTGTTTCTGTAACGTATGTTTATTTTTCGCGGACACTCCGAAATCAGCTGTGAAGTCAAAAACTCAGTAGCTTTCTCTTAATGTAGTGAACGTAAAGAAAATATTGTTTACTGAAATATAAAAATTACCAATTTTCACACCACCAGCCATTGTTAACAATACATTTCCCGCCTTTAAATCCCTGTGAATTACTTTAGATTTGTGCAAAAATGCAAGACCCTTAGTCATATGCTGACATATGTAGGCTATTTGTGGTTCTGTTAAAGCTTTCTGTAATTCGACCATTATGGAATCAACAGCACCGCCGTCACAGTATTCTATTAACATCTGTAAATTTATAAATATTATTAGATAAAACATGATTATCCTTGTAAACACTACACAATCCAAAAACATACCCATAATTTGCCCTCAATAAAATAAGCTTCGTGTAATTCAACAACATTTGGATGTTTACACTCTGATAAAATATCTATTTCAATCATGAAATCGCTAAGATCATCTTCTCCTTCGAGTGCACACATTTTTGCAGCAGCAAGCTGATGTGTTTGTTTATGTTGTGCCTAGAAAACGCAAAAAAACATTCGATACGCGATTGTCGAAATGAAACATATAAATTAAACAGCTACGTTATAATGTTGGCTGTAAGATTACCTTATAAACTTTGCCAAATGCTCCGTCTCCAAGTTCACCCACCATTTCCCAGAATTCTTCTGGGTTGCAATCCATTTTAATATTATTATATAACTTCTTTTTCTTTGCATCATTACCACCAAAGTGGAATGCTTTCTTCAAATTCGACAAGAATGACATTTTTGCAATATTTGTTCAATACACTTTCATGTATAAAACTGTACTTCTATTACATTATGTTATAAGATTCATTAATATATACACTAAAAGCAAGCAACTACTTTAAATCTGCGCATAAACATAAACTTATGCAGTGCTCGAATAATTCATTGTTACATGAAACATTTACAAGATGCATAAAATCATCTTTTCTTTTTCTTTAAATACCACCTTTCATACTCCTTATTGTATTAATGTATTTTCTAGCACAATAGAAAATGTTTTATGAAAAAAGATATTGTTCAAATCCCCATTTGATACCAGGGGATCGTACCAAATCTCTCCCGCATCTTGGTAACTTATAATCTATGCTGAGTAATTGATAGATTCATTGTATAATGAACAGCCATGTATGCACCAAGAATGAAACCCATCATTAATAATCCCTATTTTTCTTCTAATAGACACAGCTGTAATGAAAAGAGAATTAAAGAAGGTTATTGATTTTCTGCATATAAAATTAATAATTTACTACTAATAATAGAAAGAAGTGAAGTATTTAGCTGCTTTCTTTAAGAATACTGCCTGCAATACTATACAAATTCCATTGATAGAGAAAACTGGGACACATAGCTAACAGAACAACATTCCAATTAAAGAGACCTCTAGTTTTATATACTGTGGCATAAGTTTGTCTGAAATGCTTTGCAAAATTGAATCTACTACAAATGATTGCAATAATATATGGTTTTTAACCCATAAGACTTAGTATTATAACAAGAATTACATATACAATAACATTGATAATATAGCAGAAGTCACTTAAGAAGATTGATTTATCAGAGATAAAGATAAGTTAGTTGTGATAAACTATCAGACATCGGTGAGATAAATAAAATAAAAATAACATTTGAACAAAGGTGTTGTCAAATCGTATATTGGATAGTTAATGCAATTATTTGTGTTCACCTACAAAATCTCTTTTTGCTTTTATATTCTACCGTACTTTAATAAACGGTTTTTCAGCAATAGTATTCATTTAATTTTAGATTAAATAATTGCAATAACAGTAAAGATCTGCATCATATAATTCTTCAATATGGTCGGTTGTTTCATTAAAAAATCATATCAGACTGCATTGTACGTTTTTTCCAATGTTTTAATAATTACTATTTGTTTCCCAAAAACTGTCAAATTTGTTAAAATTAAATTTCAATCGTTTTCAAGATATGAAATAAAAGTGTACATGTATATAGTTCAGTAAACGTGACAATGTTGAAAAATTCGGCTCGCTACAGAATATAAAAACAGAAATCTGCTAAAACATGTCGAAACTTGGCAGTCACGAGATTGACACAATTTTGACAAGTAATCTTCAGCCGTGTCTGGCCGCCATCGTTTTGTAAATACACTTTCCCCATCTTCCATGAATCGGAAATGTATCGTCGATGAAATTCGTCAAGACGGAACTAATTAACACCGATTGAAAATGAGTTCTACAAAGAAAGCAACGCGTGAATGCGTTTCAAGTGCATCTTGAGAAATTTTCACGAAGTCATCTATACAGTTCGTTGCTTGCTAAAGCCGATACGTGTTTCTTTCGATGCAAGATGTAATAAATCGTAAGAGAATATTTTCATTCCGATAAACGATTGGATACACGTGTCGCAAACAGTCGCCGAGGCAAGAATCATGTATGATTTATTAACGAAAAATACAATCGTCGAAGAAAGAAAAAAAAGAACGAATCTGTAGACACATCCTCTGCTCACCTTCTCTTTTAATGATCCACCGTTGACGAAACGGGCACACTTCGTCTCAGTTTCTAATCATCGACGATCCACTGAAAACTTCCTTTCACAGAATCTCACAGACTGTACGTATTCTTAATAATTCCACTGTTCGTTTTCCAAAAATAGTTGAGGAAACGTGAAAAAGTATCTCGAAATCAGTAAACTAGACGGACCCGTACGTACACGGCCATTTTCAGTAGCCACACGGACATAACACATCGCACCGTACCACGCCTGGAAGTGACGTAACCAATCGGCAAGTGTGCCTGTATTCTGCGAGAGGCTCTCTAACTTGCAAAACATACAAATGCATCATAAATGCATTTAAAAAAAAAAGTTTCACCTCCTCGTATATTCTGCTAGTTGTGTAGGCGCACGGCAATAGGATTGTGTAAATTGTCGATTGCTGGTTAGGAATTAACTACTGTTATTGAAAATACCAATACAAATAAATCGTGGTTTAAATAACACACATCCTTTGAGAATTTTAACAAGAATATATGTAATTAAATTTTTCTTTCCATGTTAAATGTATAAAGCAAAATGATTTTGCACACCGAGACAAAGTTTAAAATGCACGTTATATTCTCTCGCGTGCACCTAAGAAAATTGACTGTCCATTATTAAGTTACAGAGCATTGATTTCGCGACATGCTCATGCTGTTACCTCTGCAGAAACCTTCTAACTGTATGATCTTGTTAAGTACTGTCGTAAAACACGGTTACATTTCGTAACAACGTAAAAATTTCGTGAATTTAGTCTTTGTATTGTTGGAATTAAAAAACGTAGGAAATTAATAATAAAATGATAATTCTAATGTTATACCTTCTGGCTACGAAACAACCGGATAACAGAGTAGGTAGTGACATATCTATACTAATAACATAAATGTCTTTTTTTAAGAGAAACTGCGGAGAATTAAAAAGAGAAATATTTTAATTGAAAGGATAATTGAAAACTTGGATATAGTAATTCAATTTTGCTTGTTCAAGACTACCAACGTGATGCACATTAGTTACTAGTTTTAAGGTAGGAAGTAATGGGAAGAAATTGTGAACATCAGAGCTGATCAGCTGCTACCAGTGCTACACTGACTGAACTACATATAATCATTTAATATATTTTAAAAGAATGTGCAATCGCTACGAGAACCAAGTGCCTGTGTTATTACATATCTTATGCTTGCGAAATCATTAGAATTATATTGTAGTACCGAATGTCGTAGACGAAAAGTTACGAAAACTTTTCCGTTGCAATTAGTCAGGGTTTGACTTCCTTACTTCCTACTCACGTTTATTTGAATGCAGTGGTTTGATAAAAGTTTGTCTAACACATAATTCATTTTTGTTAGAAATCATAATCTTCGTGTATTTAAACTAGAATGTGTAAGTACTACGAACTATTTGATTAGTTGCTTGAAATCTTATTCACTGCACCACATAACCAATATAGAATTTGAAGATCAATCAGTCCAAAAAATAAAAAGAAGTTTCATCTAAGAAATTAATATTATTCTGATTGGGTATTTCTTTTTATCGTTTTAGTTTGATTTTTTCTAATAAGATAACAAAATGTCTGGAAAAGAACGAGGCGTGATGAAACTGATTTGGAAACATTTTGTTGCTTCTCTGAAGCCAAATTTTAATCGTCCCAAATTAATAGGCACCGATTATTTTGGTACAAAGTATTACGAAGTACAGGTTACAAGTACCTCTGTACGAAAAAAACCGTCTCGTTATTTCACACCTGTAAATGAAGATGATCACGAACAGGAAATACCTGCAGAATGGGAATCATGGCTAAGATACCGTAGAACAGAACCGCCGACGATAGAAGAAATAGAAACCAATTATCAAATAGCAAAGCTTAAAAAAGAAAATGCTGCAAAGATAGCGGCGAAATTTGCGAATTCTAAGTCAGAAACACCACAGTTGCTTAATGCAAAAAAGGGACAACAGTCATTTCCTACATACGAAGAGTACAAAAATGATTGAGTAAATTATAAAATAAAACCTACACACTGAAAATGTAGAAACAAAACAACATTAGAGTAAAAAAAAAAACGAGAAATACTTTTAAGTAGTAGATTAATTGAATCTAATTATACATGTATGAAATTAACTCATTACACATTAAAAATCAATGAAATGTCTAGTAAATATGTACAAATTTTATTATGTGTACTTGAATTATGATGTATAATTTATGTTTTTATTGTTTGTATGAAGTATAGTCTATATGTAAAACAATCTATTATTTCCTACAATTCTATACATATACATTTAGGTATTCTGTTCTGTACGTCATCAATCGTGCCTTATCTAACGCGAAGAGAAACCAGGATTGAAACCGAGTATAAATGGAATATTCTCTTCTTCCGGAACTTCGACAATTTTGTTAACACAATCTTACGCTTTCTGTTAAAGTCTTTTTTGATGTTTTTTCTTAAAAGTTCTATTTGAATTTAATGAGATCATGCATTTAATACGTATTATTCTAAGAAAACAAAAAATTAATTCAGATAAATAGATCAATTTTAAACTTGGATACATTGGTGTCAAAATTAAACTCCAAGTCTGCACTTTTTAACGAAAAGACGGACTATAATTCCAAAAGTTTGTAAGAAGCAGTACTTCGGGTGCGTTGAACCACGAAACATCAGTCAACAGCAGATACAAATTCTTTCACTTGAAAGAAGTTGAAACAATTCGATACACAAAAAGTGTATGTTGTACGATCAACCTGAAAAATCGCTATTGTCGAATAGAGCTTGATCATATAATTCTCCCTTCACCAATCGTCCACCAAAATAGCGACCGTTCAAAGAATCCCTCGCGCGTTCCGCTTCTGAAATAATGAACGATCCCATGTAATCACTTGTTAAAAATTTGACAACTTGAAGGAGAAGTTTATAAGAACTGAATAATAATATACCGCTCATTTGCGAGAATTCGACGAAAATCTTCACGATAACTTCTGCATCTTCATCGTCCTCAGATTGCCGCTCATTATAAATAATAACTCTTTCTACAACACCGAATTTCGAGCATTCGTCCTGAATCTCTTCCTGTAAACTTTCATCGACATCTTCGGGTGCTACCATGTTTCGCAGAATGACAACCCGTGATTCAACTTTCCGCATAAGTTTCTGCATGACGAGATGACGCGCGCTTTGCCCTTTGATCGACATGTTCTCCTGTTGTTGCAGTGTTTGCGGTTCCGTTTCCTCCAATAACTTTTTCTGCAGTTCCTCCTGTTGTTTCTGATGAGCCGCTTGTTCTTGTGCCCGTCTCATTATATCGGAATTCGTTGTGGTCGTGACCGGTATCTAATGATCGTACAGATTTCAATTGTTTCGACGTTCGTTCGCGTTGTACGTAATCCAGAAAAATAGAAGTGAATTAATCAAATGAAAGAAAACTTACAACTGGAGTTCCCACTATTGTAGGCGCGACGACAGCTGGTGGTGGTATGACAACCGGTTGACCGGGTATAGGTTGAATAATTGCTGGTGGTCGAGTTAAAGTTTGTGGTATAGCTATACCAGGTGGAGGAATAACTGGTGCTACTGTTGCTATAGTCGGCGGTGCCATCATTGTCGCCGGGGCAAGAGTAGGCCTCACGATACCAGGCAAGGCTGCGTACATATTGATATTAGATAAATAGTAAATATCTATTATATAACTATAATAATCTTCTTTGTAAGTTTTTATATACCTTGATTGAGTATCGGGGGAGCAGCAGCACCGAGTTTGGTCAACCCTAGAGCTACGGCATTACTAGCTACCGCATCCATTGCTTGAATTTTTGCAGTTGCTGCAGCCGCTGCAACTGCAGCTGCGGTAGGCATCATACTGGTTCCACTCGGTGGACCCATAAGAGCATTCGGTGGAGTGATAGCTCTGCCTACTCGCAAGTATTGACCGCCCAAATCGAACAAATTCATTGACGCGATAGCTTCCAATGCAGCTTGCATTGTTTCATATTCAATGAAACCATAACCTTTATGACGGTGGGGTGAGCTACCTTGTGCTAATTTGCAATACGTAATAGGACCAAATGCTTCGAATACTGATTTAATATCATCCTCGGTCAAATCTTGATGAATAGACGCGATGTAAATGCGATTATAATGTTTACTTTCTTCGGTAATTTCATCTATTACAGATTGAGCTTGGGGCATGTTCGATGGACGCCCCACAACCTGAAAAAAAAACACACCGATTTAGGAAAGATATTTTCAACGTTATAGGTATTTACACGAAAGTCAGTTAAAGGTATAGCTATAAATCTAAATTATCAACTTAATATTTTGAGAAGTTAATCTATGAAAATATGGAATGGAAAGACTAAATCATAAAGGAATAGTACCCTGTGCTAGAATAATTAAATAATTTTCGGAATAAAATATACTGCATTTTATATGAATACCTTCTTATAATCATTGAACACATGCAATATGATAAAATTATTTTCAAATGCCTTAAGACATCGCAAGTATCATTCTACTAGGAATATTTAAAAGATCTATGAAAAAGCGTTTGTGAAGGTTTTTTTTTTAAAGAAGGAATTAAGAAAGATTTTGATCGAAGTGCATTCTGTGAACGATGCAGTTCGATCAAAAAGAATATTATATTGGATAAGGCTAAATAAAAATTTGCCGACCTCCGGCGGGATGATAGGATTGCTGGGGGACAGGAAATTCGTTATATAGGTACGTCCCGCTACCTTGATGTTACGTCCACCAATCATGACACCATTCATCTGTTCCAAAGCAAGTTGTGCCGCTTCAGGTATCTCGTATTCGACGAACGCAAATCCTTTGTGCTTCTGAGTAACAGGATCCCACGACATGTTGATTGATTTTATAGGACCAAAAGGCAAGAAAGCTTGCCTAATCGTGTCCTCTTTCAATTCGAAACTGATGCTGCCCACATATACCCTGTCGTACAGGAATATTATTTCAGCTAACAACTTCCCTCAACTATTAGAATAACTTTCTCATTTTATTTGTAGCAATTATCAAAATATTTACTATTTTCTCCAATTGTCGATTCTATAGAATACGAAAGAGAACTATTGACGATACTTTCTGCACGTTGAACGTGCGTTAAAAGAAATTTGTTTTCACCATAACAATTTTTCTGTGCCGAATCCCTTGTACAAGAATATTTTTTTTTATCAGCTTGTCGTTAGTTGGAAAGAAGTAACAGAAAATGCTAAATACTAGCTCCGCGTTTATACAGTTTTAAAAAATGATAGAAAAAGAAAAAGTCGCGATTAATGAAATATTTTGCGTAACTCAAGAGTTAAATTACGAATAAAAAACATTTCAGAGTACAAGAGTTGAAGATTATCTTCCGACTTAAAATGCTGAGTCTCGAGGATGAAATTTGGAGGGCTAAGACAAAGAACAAACAAACCTGCACATGAGGGCGAGAGCCTGCTGTCTCTGCACCTGATTCCGTTGACTAGCCATTTGCTGTAACACAAAGGACCATAGGCCTTCTATTGATATCCCTCCCCCTTACATACACCAGTCTCGTTCATCTCAAAAATCCCCCAAGCTCTTTTACCATTCCACCTTCTTCGCTCAACTCCTCTTCGCTTAATTTTCAACATTATCAAAAATGAGTAATCAATCTGAGGACAGACTAAAGCGTAATGTCTAAAGCGGAGTAACTATGATGGAATAAACACTACGAGGAGAACAAATCAGCCCTTATGTAGTCTGGGTTATGAAAGAAATATATTACAACAACAAACGAAGAACAGTTGAGCTCGGAAGTATATATCGATCATATAAATTTGTTTTAATATCGTCCAGAGATTCATGCACAAAAACTTGTCCTCCTTCGCGCTGGTACAGCTCTGCTCCCGCCGACTATTATTCTCAAGATATCTAACCTTCTCTTACAGTAGTAACTCAGGGAAACGTTTAGGAGAGTTTGATCGTAAGGCGGTTTCATATTGTTTCTATCTTGATTTGGTTGACACTAACCTGCACATTAGCAATAAAACTTGCTGCCGCATGACCAACTTATTCTTCTGCGGGGAGAAAAAATCAACCGATCAGAGTTAGGTTCCAGTGTTCGTTTTTGAGATTTCTGTTATATTTTTGTCACTTTACTCGCTCGTCATAACGAACACAGGATTTGAAAATGTTTATACTAATGGTTTAAAATTACTCGGCGGGGCGAGCTAAATTGCAAGGACAAACGTTAATTTAAAGCACTAAGTGCATACATTTGAAATTACATCTTTTTTTGGTATTATTGGCAAAGAGCTAAATAGAGGAAGCGACATATAAAATATAGTTTTTATAAATGACACTTTTTGAGACAAAAAAGAACCCCAAAATTGTAATATATAATTTCGTAAGAGTATACATTAAATCCATTGTGCATTCTTAAAGAGACGTAACATTCGATTACAAAATTTTTAATATACGAGTACCATTTTTTCAACACTTCTCGCCCGTTTGAATAGTACAGATGAAATTTATTCATTCGAATGTTTTAATGCTTGATACACTAATAACAATATTAGAGCATAATGATAATAGAACGAAAAAGTGCTAAATTTAAAAGTTTTTATGAATGTACAATGGAATGGAAAATGTATGTTAGGCGAGTAAAGTTTGTTAGCTTTATGTTTGAAAGTTACCTGTTGTTGATGCGCGAGAGTTTGTTTCATTAAAACCATTTTGATGCTTTGTTCCATTGCATATTTCTTTGCTCTATTTACTGTATCCTGCTGTTCAGACGTAACTTTTGGAAGACCTGCACCTAGAATGCCAGGTAACGTAAGATATTTAGCTCCAGGTCCTGTAACAAAATAAGTACAGTATTTAAAAGCAAAGCTTATAATAACCAAAGGAAATTATACAATCGGCGTCTTGTCAGATCTTATCAGCTACTTGTCCACTAGATTTTTATCAACCCTCAATATAACTTAAATTGGAGTGACTAACATGTTAATTGTCACAATTATTATATACATCATTCGTAATTTCATTTTAAGAATTATGTAATACTATGGTACTTCTTACCCGCAACAACTTGTCCGATTTGATTAAGATCATATATAGGGCCTGGCAAGAACTCTGATGCATTTCCTACGAAGAAAGTTAGTATTAGATAAACTTGCAACATTAGAACTAATATCATTTAGTACTTCTATCATATACGTTTTTTTTCTCATTTTTTCATTATGACAGAGATACTAAAATGACATAATTTTGAAGGGAATACAATTTTTGTTTCCGAACTTTTTCTTCGAATCTTTGGTACAATTAAATAGAATTCGAAATATTCGCGTTAGTAATTTTCAATTGGAATATCATTCGCTGTGCGGATATATCGCACAATAGTATGAAATATAACTTTCATGAAGTGCCACAGCAATTTTTTAACTTAAAACGAGATGAAAAAAGTAACGACGTCGTGCAGCAGTTCCCACGGTAGAACCGTCCTCCGAACTGTAAGTTCAAAGAAATTAAAATAGTCAGGAATAATAATATTACATTTTAATAATACGAGGCACTATGTATAAAACATACATTATACATAGTACACGTGTATGTACATATCAAGGAAAAAGTGGAATTTCCTTCTTTTCCTGCACGCCATTATTGTAAAAATTCGTTTGAATATTAAAATTTAAAAGGGATCACTGCGTCCGAATACATTATTATACTTTCATTTGAACTTTATTTTACTGTTTATGCTATTAGCCTCAAAAAAAAAAAATTAAGACTACCGACAACTAGATTAGGTTTCGTACGATCATAACCAATTTGGTCTGCTAGTCTCTGAAACAGAAATCAGAACACGTTGAAACGCTTCGTTTTCTCTTTTACGACTTTTTGCACTTTCACGAATTATTATTGTTAACTTTGTTCGATCATTCGATTAACGGCTAACCGTGTTCTGGGCTGAGCAATGATGGTTGTGCGCAAACTATCCGAGATTGAGGCGACGCACAAATCTGTAAGCACAAAGCAAAGGAGAATACTCTCAGTGCATTTTCTGCGCCATTTTCTTACAGTTTGCCTTTTCCAACCTACCACGCAATTAGCCCTAACACTTTCTATGCAGCAATGGCGATCCTAATAGACAAGAAATCTAACGCGATCGATCGTCGGAAACATATGTTTCGTCGTCTTGCACGCCCGTCCATAATAAAGTCCTGTTAAATTACAGTGAGCTCATCTTCTTTAGTAAAAAAAAAAAGAAAAAGTCTTACCTCGTGCTTATATAATATAAATACAAATATGAATTTCACTTGAGAATATCTTGACAGATACACATATCGCCATTGCCTATCCTATTTATAAGCCTCTTCCAGAATGTACAATATTATATTTCGAACTCATACAACAAATTAGCAATGTAGAATACATTCTACACGACTTGTTTTAACAGAATCACTGATACATAAATTGAAGCTTATAATTAGGATGGAAGAAGACTACCCTAAAATGCTGACCTATCTAAAATACGCATCATATTTGGTACTCGACAATAGATGCTGTGTCAGTGGAGTTTGCAAAACTCTGATTTGTTCTGTTCAACGAATGTAGCGTTCTCTTTCTTTGTTTGGCGCACGCTCATGATCACAGCTCAGTCGTAGGCCACAGATTCTGTACTGTCTCTCCGCTGTAACATCTCAGAACAGAAGGACAACCATACATTAGTTTTATTGAGGGCCAACGATCACCTATTACCCTAGCCTACCAAAATATATTCTGAAACTGTGATAGACCTCTCAACACTTATAGTTTGCCAGCAGTTTAATAGAAAGCTAGCACCTGATTGTCCTAAATAAATAGTATATGTTTTTCTTCATCAGTTTCCTTTGTTTAAAATTATATTACGCTTGCTGTTGCTTCTGTGTTCACCGTCTTTTCCACTTGTAAGCTTAACCGTACGATTTGTTAGAGATTAGGGGGATACAGTTATTTGGTTGCATTAGCAATGTACCTTCAACTCTAGGTTTCTTGTTAGGTGGCTCCGCATTGTTCTGGGACATTGGTGCCTAAAAAAAAACATTAAATATATTTATATTCAATAATTAAAATGATATTTAATAGTTTCTTATGCCTTCAATTATTCTTGCTGATCATTATAAACCGAATAATAATGGATTCTTTAAATATTAAAAATAACAAAAATCATTTACTATATTTATTTTACTGGCACTCACATATTTTTAGGAAAACTTAATCCTTTGGTTTATGATTTTTTTTTTAATCTGTGCGAGCCAGAATTGAATTTATTGTTAATACTTTGCAAAAAGAGAAAAGAATTCTATGTTCATTGTAATTGTGCACTTACTCTAAAGGTTAAACATCCATAAAAGCAAAATGGTATTTCATTTTATAGACAAGGAAAATTATTAAATAGTATTTAATATGTATTAACTTCACTTTGCAATCTTCAACACGAGTCTGATTTGTTCTTTCAAGGCCAAGGGTTAATAGCGAAGCCTTCATTTACGAAGTATACATTACAAGAATTCATATTAAACTCCACGATAAAGTCAGTAATATTATTGTTTCAATTATTTGTAATATTACATTCATTCACTTCTAATTGGTTAATAATTTATGCTTGTTAAACATATTACAGAAAATCTTGTCACTGTGTACATGTAATTTATTAAATCGTTCGAGTAGAAGTCGTTCGAATACGTTACAAGCATTTCCAACCGCCATCATGATCCATAAAAGTTTGTTGCTTTCACCATTTCGGCGTTTGTTATAAAAGTAATGATAAATGTTAACTTACCATTGCCATTGCTCCGTTCATTATCCCCTGCAGTCCAATAAAACAAGATCAATTTAAACGTCTATTAAACGTCCTTTATTAAGGAAATAGGAAATAATTTCACGACAAGTAACTTACATCCAAAGCGACCTGAAGCTTGCCTTCACGGAAGTGCTATAAGTACCTCTCGTACCTCTACACCCTCTAACAATAACGTTACTTTATCATATGTGTATATGCAGTATCCAGAAAGACAGAAAACATATGACACACCTCATTTCGCTTGAAATAAAAAAATATCTATTTTAACATTTTTAAATCGTTTCTTTAATAGTACTATTACTATGTTTTCTCCTTTCATTGAACCATTCTACCTTGGTCGTAATTTGACTACAGTAGTACCAGTAGTACGATTACGATAGCCAAAAAACACATGTTCGAGGGCTAGAATATCTTGTTAATCTTTTATATCGTGTCCCTTTTTAATTAAGGGCTTAATCACGATGAATTCCAATGATTTTGACATTAGATTAATTAATGAGGAAAAGGTAGGTGCTATTAATGTAATTACTCGTTATTGTATTTCGTATGAATGATATATTTGCGGCTTTATTTATGTCACGTTTAATCGTAGACGTGGCGTGTTTTTGAATTTCATAAAATTTAATATGTTGCCGGAAATATTATTCAGAGCATAAATATTTCGAATTACATTTTAGGGAAAAGGTATTTTTGCTACGGGTCCTTTTAAAGTTGGGGACGTAATATTGAAAGAGAAACCTATAGTTTCATGTCAGCTCTCTTGGAATTTAGATTATGGATATTTAGCTTGTGACAATTGTTTGAAACCTTTGGAAACTGCCGAAGAAAATGTACACAGATTGACAGGGAATAAAATGATATTTTTACCTCATGCAGAATGCTGTGAAACAAAAACAGAATTAATTACACAATGTTCCGAATGTGACACAAAATATTGTAGCATTGAATGCCAAAATGAAGCTTATTTAAGGCAATATTTAGCAATTTATAACATATTCTAACAATAAAGTAATGTTATTTATGTATGATTTATTTGCATTTTAGGTACCATAAAACATTATGCTTGAGAGAAAAACATGAATCTCATCCTCTTGTGCAATTAAATGAAACTTGGAAGAATATGCATTATCCACCAGAAACAGGAACAATAATGTTATTTGCCAGAATGGTAGCTCTTGTTAATCAAGCCAATAATAAAGATGATATTCTTTCCATATTTTCCAAGTTTTGTCATTCTAACTTTTGTACAGATGACAATATACATCAAGTTAAATGCAAGCTAATGGAAGAAAAATTTATTGGTCAATTTAATATACTCAGACAAATGATGCAAAAAGCATTGAATACAGAATTTACATCTCATGTATGTGTTACAAATGTACATTAAAAAAAATTTTATACAGTAATATATATTGTAAAAAATTTTAATTTGCAGTGGTTCACTCCACATGGATTTAAAAATCTGATAGCCTTGGTAGGTACAAATGCTCAGGGCATTGGTACTAGTGCATTCAGTCGTTGGGTAAAAAATGTGTCTGCATTAGACTTACCAAGAGAAGAAAGAATTGATGTTGATAAATTAATAGATCGTATTTATGACGAAATGGAAGAAGGTAAGTCTGTTAGAAAAGTACAATTAAAATTTGTCAACATAAGCTTTTTTTTATTTTATTAGTGCTTTTATGTGTTTAGAGGTTGGATCTTTCTTAAATAACGAAGGTACTGGTCTGTATGTTCTTCAATCAGCATTGAATCATAGTTGTGTACCAAATGCAGTTGTAGAATTTCCTTTCTCGAATAACGTATTGGTTGTCAGAGCGATACGTGACATTCAACCTGAGGAGGAAATATGTATAAGTTATCTTGACGAATGTGACTTAGAAAGAAGTAGACATTCTAGACAAAAAACTTTAAGCTTGCTATATATGTTCACTTGTCGCTGTGATAAATGTATGTCTCAAGTCGATGATCCGGATTTAACATCGGAAAAGTATCATTACTAATAATTTGTATTTGCTCGTAGTACATACAATGTAATGTTAATGATTCATTATATCATCAAGACGGAAATATTGTACATATAATAAAGGTACATAACTTTTGTATATAAAATTACTTTATTCGCAATCTGTTATATTACAGCGAAATATCGAAACATAAAAAACTACCCGGTGCTCTTGAATTTAATCTATTAGAAGCCGAAATTTAATTATAAGACGATCTGTCCGACACATATGATGTATCATCGGTCTGAAATGAATTCACGCCTTACAAATTAATATATTAAAAGTAATTATTGACATGTTAAAGTGTAATAGCCGATAACAATGCGAAAATGCTTTATTCTGCTAAACATGAACACATTTCAGGTGTTTATGTCATACCTAGTCAAATAACTATCTGAAGTCACATATAACAAAACAGATTAAAATATAAATTGCACAAACTAACAAACCTATTTGATTTCTATAACACAACACTACAACAATGAGGATTCTTGCTCTCCTGTTTTTTTAACACTTTATAAAAGTATCAGTCAACACTTACTAAGTGTATGTCAATGTTAAAATTCCAATTGAATATAAATATCGTCAACCATTTGAAATTACGAATTCATTTTCACCTAAAGTCATAAAATTTGATATATAATATGGTACAGGCATATTAATTATTTGACGTTCTATCAACTTCGTTAATAATACGGCGATATTAGGACCACGGAACTCGCACCTGGAATACATCAGATTATTGGTTCTATAATATTATGAAACATGACAATGTATGACAGTTTTATAAGAAACAGTACTAACGTTGCGCGCATAGTCTCATCCGCTAATTTTGTAGCCACCTCTTCATGCACAAAAGACTTACTGGACCCATTTATAACAAGTAATTCTAAAGTGGCAGGATTGTCTCCGAAGCATTCTTCTGCAAATTTTTTTCGTTGTCTATGCTGAGTAAAATCTATACCGGTGGCTCTGGAAAAGTATACGAAATTATGGAATTGTGAATGCAAATGTTGAATCTGAATAATTTAGAGATATTTAAAATGAATATTACTTTATCTCTGGACTGGTATTTTTGTATTTCACAGTATCATTAATATTTTCATAATTTAATGCTCCTTCTTTTTTTTGCCAACACATTTTGCTTAATGATTTCAGATTTTTGCCCTTTAGATTAATTTGTTCACTTTTGTTATATCCCATACCCGTTACTACTGCGTTTAACACTGTATCTTTAACATTCTGTTTGTTGATAAAAAAATATGTTTGGCCTAAAAATAAAGCAAAAACAATAGGATTTACATTCTGAATCCTACGTCTTCTACGCGTGGCACTTTTTCCTAGTGCATTAAATGAAACATATATAATGCCATTGTGTGCATATGCTTTAACATTCATTTCTATATCTGAAAATTCACAATAGTTTTGCAGGTTTTGTTCAATATTTCTTGGTTTGAAATATTTTAGAGGTTTCACAGAACCTTTTAACGAATACCCATACCACGTTTTTTTGTTACTGTGCCAACTAATGTCTGAAACAATTGAATATCAGTGATAACAAGAACATAATCAAAGAAAAAGAGAAACATTAAATATTACCAATTAATTGTAATGTGATTAAACGATCTTTTAGATTCTTCTCCCTTAATCTTCTTTCCTATTTCAAAGATACACAGAAATAGAAACGAAATGAAGATATATTTAAGTATACATAATTTCAATATATTAGTAAAACACTTACAGTTATAGTTTTCTTCATAAGTTGAACTACATTAGCCGAGGTGAAAGTACTATGACATTTGACTAATTCGGATTTTATATTATGCCAAGACAGTTCAGGAAAAATAGGCATTACCGCTGATTCTAATTCTTCGAATTTGAATCTTTTAATAATAGTGCCTATTTGTTGTTGCACAGATAGAAGTGTTTCTAAAACATTAAGCAATCTTGTTATATATGTATCCACTGTAATTTCTTCGAACGAAATATGATATCTGAGAAACTAACCGACTGGCATTATGCTGAATAAAAGCCACATAAGATTTTGCGGCTGTGTAATTTTAATATTGCACCAAACGCACACAAAATCTTCTTTATGCGTCTATTAAAACGAGACAGCTTGTGGGCCATATGTACATAAACCGTTAACTGCCGTTAACTGATTCCCGCCTAAAACGAATCCCGCGTATTCTATCGGGCGTCTTTGAAACTATAAGTTTTACAGGGATTTACAGTTAGTTGTTAGGTTAGGTTCGACGGGATAAGATGCTATATATACGTATACTTACATATATATAGGTCTATCTTTATACCTTATCTGTGATCGGATACACCCATCTTACATTTATAATTCATTATAATATTATCTATATAAAGTAATAAAATTTGTACGTAAAACTTATCGATAATGATCATACCGTCCTTTGATAGCGACAATTAGGCAGATATTAATCGGATTTTATTAAAATGTTATACATACTTACACAGATTTTTTCTTATAACTGGTAAGATATTCAGACATCAGGTGTAATAAGCATAATGGAAAATAAAAATACGATTTCTATTGTATTTAAATGTTTAGATACAATGGACCCTGTACTGATTGTAAGGGCCATTCGTAATCCGTCGAGAGACAAACGTGTTAAAAAGGCATCTGACTAGCGTCTAAATAGTCTCTTGAAAATTTTGATTTTTCCTTATTTCAATTTCCTTTATTCTTCGTTAAACAATGAATTACAGAAAATTGTTCATAAACATCGATGAAAACGTTACGGTTCCTTGCAGGTATGAGAATTAATTGTTTAATGCATAGATGTACTTCTAGTAATAATTAACGGAAAGTGAATGCACATCCGAATTTGAGTCATACTGTCCCCCACTTTCAAATAACGGAGAGATGCAATCAACGTAATACGCAGGCGCAGTATCAGGATCCGAGATTATAAATAGATCACTGATTGACGACGGTGTGAAGTTGTCACGGTGCACTTGTCGCATGATGGCGCAACATGTTGACCGTTTATGCACACCGGCAGCTCTTTTATTGCTTGTTTTTACGATTTTCAACATAGTATACGCTAATGCAATTACAGGAGTGAAAGTAATCGGTAGTCCGAATGTGAAATCAGTGAATATCTTGGATAGGAAAGAATTAAATACGATTGAACATTCGTTCGATAGTTCAGATTTCTTCGTCGAGGTTCTTGGCACCGGCCTCGAGAGCAATATTTCTTTATGCTGGTCACCTACATCCGATGATTGCGATCCCAGCAACAAATTGTACGCGATCTGGATCGCGTCGAACGGAAGTCGTGCAATATACCAGTTCACCGAGGATCCTAATTTTAAGGTTACCACAATCTATTTCTGTCTGAGAATCGTCACCAGGTTCGGCGAAACATGGACCAATCTTGGGAGCAAGTTTACTATCAGTCCTCTTCCGTCGCTATCGGAGTAAGTTTCGAATACTCGATAATTTTATCTTCCACAAACCGTCATCAGAGAAAACGTTTTTCGTTTACTAATAATAGACGTCCATCATATGACATTGCATAAATTTTTTAAAAAGGTGAAAATACTGATATTACCGACGGCAATTGATTTTATTCTGTGGTACGGCATTTATATGCATCAAGTGTTTATAACTTTCTTAGTACAATATGATATAAAGACAGCTGTTTGGTTCATTTTACCATTGTGTCCAAACATGGAAGCACACATAGGAGACTAGATAACATAGAAAACTATCTATAGATTTTACAATACAGTTTTTCATTAAAGCCATTTTACATATAATTGCAAAAGAAGTTACATATTTCTGTGTGACACCATTAATTATAATTGGAGAAATACTGGTAACCTTGACCTGGATATCCATATTTAGTTTACTATATGTGTGATTAGCAAAATCTATGATATGTGAATAAAATATTAATTGATTCCTTAAATTAATGAGAACAAAGGAAATAGCTATGATTTATTGCAAATTGTTGATTCAAATACTTTACATTTTCTAAAATTGTTACTACTCAATAAATTACAATTTTGAATGTAAAATAATGTTAGAACAAATGTTGTTCTTAGGAAACACAATCTTGTGCGTCGTGCAGATTTTGTACCCTCTGGCAATGCTGTCCATGAAAGTTTAATAACAGAAGAAGTCCATACAGAAGCATTTATCGAAGGTATAAGAATAGAAACATCAGATAAGGATCCGAGTTATAGAAATGATGGAATCCCAGAGATATTAGCTGGGAGTAGGGCTGTTATAAGATTATTTGGTTCTGGTATCACAGAAGATACATTAGTCACTTTTACTGATGAACCATCAAAAAGGGGTACCATTTGTGATAAAATCAAAAGCAATGAATTTCCAGTAAGCATTCAGTTGTGTTATTCATCATTTTATTTTTTTTGTATATATTCAGCAGTTCCATTATAATATGTGGTTGATATAGGTAAAAAATGTACATAACAATACTGCAACCATTGATGTGGTGCTGCCACTAGGTTCGCCATTTTATGTTTGTATAAAGCAACCGGTATATGGAAAGGAAGGGCCTGATCTCTTACTTTTCAAACATCAAGGCATTGAACCATGGAAAACTGTAAGTAATATCTTTTATGATGTATATCTTTTAGAGATAAATAAAGTTTTAGTAAAAATGATTGTATTAAAATTACAATGTGTCTATTAACAACAAGTTATTTACAGATCTATACATACGAAAAATTCTTGCCACTTTGGCTTGGTATTGTAATTATTCTCATGTGTCTCTGCTTTTCTGCTCTATTCTCCGGTTTGAATTTGGGATTAATGGCAATGGATAGAACTGAATTGAAAATACTATGTAACACTGGAACTGAAAAGGTAATATTCTATTGATTTTGTTCTAGATTTCAGTCTAGAATTATGATTTCATAATAATTTCATAATTCGTCAATTGTTCATCTTTTTGAAGGAAAAACAATACGCAAGGACGATACAACCAGTCAGGAATCATGGGAATTATTTATTATGTTCGATTTTGTTCTCAAACGTTTTAGTGAATTCAATCTTCACTATTTTGTTAGATGACTTAACTTCTGGATTAGTTGCCATTATCTGCTCCACCTTAGCTATTGTAATTTTTGGCGAAATTTCACCGCAAGTACGTATATTCGTTATTTATATGACTTATTTATTACCGAATCACTAGAAACATTTAAAAAGGATATAATTATGTGATGCACAGTTGTAGTATAAATGTATCCTTTCTTTTAGGCTATTTGCAGTAGACACGGATTATGTATCGGAGCTAAAACAATTTACGTAACAAAGTTGACCATGATAATAACATTTCCATTGAGTTATCCCATTAGCAAGCTTCTAGACGTTCTTCTTGGCGAAGAAATTGGCAATGTGTATAATCGTGAACGTTTAAAAGAACTTGTAAAGGTGAGAGCAAAACCGCACTATTGTCGAATTGTATTATTTTCACAGTATGTACGTAATATAGTTGTTTCTGATTGTAATTTGAAGTATACATTATCAAACACATTTCCAAACGTTTTACTGTTATGGATCTTATCAGAATGAGCATGGATAGGGCAGATAATTATACTGACATCCAAATTCAATCATGTGTAGGTAAGATATAGATCTACTGACGTTTGCTTGAAGTTTTCACATTCTACAAAGTACGTGTTAGATTACTTATCAATGTGAAACTTAAATAAGATAACTTTACATATTTATACTGTGCTAATTTAAACTGAACTTATCGTTAAAATGTATTTCTATATGATACATGTGTTTGTGTACATATACGAGTGCAAAGGAAATGTAAGTTGTGTAATTAATATCCAGAACCTTTTTCTGAGTGTTCTACTTAATATAATGTAATAACACTGTTAAAGATTTCATATCGATCCACGTGAAATTATAATCATGTCAGTGTCAATTGTTTATAGGTCACGACGGGTTACAATGATTTAGAAAAAGACGAAGTAAACATCATCGCCGGCGCATTAGAATTACGAAAGAAGAGTGTTGCGGACATAATGACAAAAATTGAAGATGTATATATGTTGGATTACAACGCTATCTTAGATTTTGAAACAGTGTCAGAGATTATGAAGTCAGGTAGGTATTTTACACGGATTTTACATTATTGATAAATTGGATCAGGTAACGTATCTGGTTAGTTGAATTTCTATAATACTTATCAACTATTTTCAGGTTTTTCGCGGATACCAGTGTATGAAGGAATAAGAACAAATATAGTAACAATGCTTTACATTAAGGATCTTGCGTTTGTTGATCCGGATGATAATTTGCCGTTGAAAACTTTGTGCCAATTTTATAAAAACCAATGCAATTTTATTTTCGAAGATGTTACGTTAGACATAATGTTCAAACAGTTCAAAGAAGGTAAATGTTTGAAACAAACGTTACGATTTACGCGGATCAAGTTACTTCTTTGTTAGTCGATGGAAAATAAAATGATCTATGTAATGTCAGGTCACAAGGGTCATATGGCATTTGTTCAAAGAGTAAACAACGAAGGTGAAGGAGATCCATTTTATGAAGTAATAGGATTGGTTACATTGGAGGATGTCATAGAAGAATTGATTCAAGCCGAGATCATGGATGAAACTGACGTCTTTAGTAAGATTCTCGTTTATCTTTGCTAGGGCATAATACGTATACATGCGCTCCATACGTGTAGAACGTAATTATTATTATTGTGTTATGATCTGTTACAGCGGATAACAAAACGAAACGTAGAAGACCGGCTAAGCATAAAGTGCAAGACTTTACTGTGTTCGCGGAGAAGAAAGAAAACCAACGAATTCATATATCACCACAGTTGACATTGGCCATGTTTCAGTATTTATCCACAAGTAGGAAGAAGTGTTTTGATTTAAGAAAATATCAGATAAAAATACTCTTAAAATACATCTGAGTGTAATGTGTATAATTCACAGCTGTAGATGCATTTAAGCCCGATACAATATCGGAAACTATTTTACGTCGTTTGCTTAAACAAGACATTATTTATCATATCAAAGTGAAATCCCGCGAAAAAGCGAGAAATGATCCGGCAGCGGTGATTTATCAACAAGGGAAAGCGGTTGACTACTTTGTTTTGATCCTGGAAGGTCGCGTTGAGGTTACAGTCGGCAAAGAGAATATGATGTTTGAAAGCGGTCCATTTACATATTTCGGTTGTCAAGCGCTTACCGTGAATATAGGAGTCTGTAAGACATCTGTTTAATATGATCAATTGATCTTTTTAATTGATAAAATCTTACCTATCGGATTCCTAATGAATTGGACGTTTTTTTTCAGCGGAATCGCCAACTAGCGCGAATCCACAAGCGGTAGGAAGCATACAATCGATCAATCTCGACTCCATGCTACGATGCACTTTTGTCCCTGATTATTCAGTACGAGCGGTAACGGAAGTGTTTTATGTGAAAATAAAACGATCGTTTTATTTGGCTGCGAAACGGGCAACGCTTCTGCAAAGAAGTCAAAAAGATCCGTTACCCGGTCAAGAGCAATTTGACGATGAAGTTGAGAAGGTTAATGAATATATCCGATGATCGTATATAAAAATTGATTCGGATAATTTTACGTGACGTCGTATAAACGTTTTCATGAATGTTTCGTTTTGTAGTTATTGCATTCTTTGGACGAGGACGATCGTAGCGTGCCAGAATCTCCCGTGTTACCAATGGATAAAGAAAAGGAGCCGAAAAGGGACAAAGACAGCTCGCAATCTCCCGTTTATAGTGCAACCGCTCCAACGTCACCGGCACCAGTTAGCGCCAGTCCAGTTACGCATTCGAAATTCGTTTCATCTTATAGCGATCATAATGGCAAGCTTAAAAATTCACCGATAAAGGTATGCGATTTCGTTATTTTCACGTTTGAAGTGTAGCGATGAAAAAAGACAATGTCTTAAGTATAAGATACGTTACAGACGCCTTCGTTAACAAGTCCCACTCAAGGACCGAATAAATTAGACTTGGATTCGGAAATTCTTGCGCGTCAAGAACTGAACAGAGTGATGTCGGCTAAGAAATTGCTCGAAGAAGAAGAAAGAACGAATCTCCTGCCTAAGCAAGATGACTCTTAACGTTCGGAGAACAGTCGGTGATGTTTAAACGCATCGACGCTTATAAACTTACAAGTATCAAACAACGAAGAGCAGGAAAAACCTCTATGACATACAATGCTATCGTAGCATTAGGTACTTAACGAATTACTTAAATATTTATCCTCCGAAACAAATCGATAACTGATCACGCGAGTTTTAATTTTCGAAATAGTTGATCCAGAGACTGTCCGCGACATCCGAGTTTCTATCAAGTTAGTACGCTCAGGGAAGATTGCCAAATTTTCAGACGTATCCTTCTTATAAGTCTACGTAAATAACAGACTACGTAACCAAAACGTAAATGCACACTCCGTCATTGGACGTCTTGATTTCTCTTCGAGCACTGCTACATAGAATGCATAATTTTTATGTGTACACATAGCGAGAAAGCGGAACGCTTATCGAAACATAATTCTCACTCTCATGGAAAACATCATTTCTTTCTTTCTTTACTATTCAATAGTTCATACTTAGGATCTGTAAATATTATTTTGTCGCGTGTTTTGCTCTAGAAACATGAAACTTCTGGAATGTGCATTTCATTTTCGACAATGAAGCACATTTACGTAATATTTTATGGCAACTATGTCTCTGCATTTTTCGCAATATTTTATGTTTCTACCCTGAAGTGCGAAGAAGATTTTGAAAGGATTTGAAAACAGTGATCACTGGTCTAATACATATATAGTCGAGATCATATTATTCTAATAGTTGTTGCAAGAACAAGGAGTGTATTCGACTAAAATCACATTGGGTGTACATTAAAAGGAAGTACAAAGTGCATTATTCAGTGCATTATAAGTCTATTCTATAAATACAAATGAGGTTTTAAAATCGTTTGTTTTTTTTTTGTTTTTATTTGCTTTTATTAAATTGTCTCGTTTTCTTTGTGTCATATTTCTAATACGAGTGTGAATAGTGTGAATAGGAATTATTCCTTCGTCTTATTAATCAACTGTAAAACTATCTTCGGTATAGAAATACGGTAATTGATTATATTTGTATTCAGTGCCTTAACAAATTATAAAACTATGTTCAATAGTCTGCAATGAAATGCACTTTAATAGAAGGTGAATATAATATCTACAATGGGTTCCAAATATTACATTCATTTAAATACTCTCGCATTCTTATAACAATTGATACATTCTGTTTACATGCTTACGATTCGAGGCAGATTTCTTCATTCGTCATACACTTTCATATAATACGTGATATTTATTGTATACATAGAAGATATACTCGAGCACAGTGTATTGTAAAAGTACAGTCTTATATTTTGAAAAAAACAAAAAAAAAACAAAAAAAAAGATTGTTACGTGATAATTGCGCAACAGTACAATCCCCCGTAGAAGAATAGTAAATTTAACGAAGTTCAATACTGTAATCTAATGATACACATGCTTTTATTTTTCTTAATTACTATATTAGAAACAAAATCATTTCTCTATATAAAGTGACGATCAACACTTGTACATATCTTGTGTTTGAAATAGGTAAAATAAGTACGAATAGAGATCTTTCCGAATTTCAAAGTGTCCCTAACGAAGAGATAATAATTATCTAATAAGCTGTTAAATCTGCGAAGTAACGAAATAAGACAAAACAAAAAAAAAGAACTTGTCGAATTTTTTACGGGAATAATCAGCTAGCGTACTTAACGTAAGAAACAGAACCGGTTCAACAAATAGGATTATTAGAATAGCGGCGAGATCTACAGTTTCCCCCTTTAAATTATTGCGGTTTATTGTTATTTCCATTTAAAATTTAATAGTTAGACTGTTACTGCCATATTTTTTATACGTACGCATTGTTGTTTCAATGTTTGTTTTAAACGATTTTCGAGAAGATATTGAATATTCGAGTCTGATCGCCACCATTATACGGGTATCGATTCTTCGAAATAACTTTAACGAGAATTCAATTTTAAATCGTCGAATTCTACGCGGCCGTGCTTACAAAGTTATATCGATTTTAGATTAGCATATCTTGTACAAAATCGTTCAGATTTTATTTTTTTATATGCATATATATATATCCACATATATCTATACGTATAATTTGAACGATTTTACTTAAGCATATACATTTGCATGCCGTTTGTAGCTTTGTGGAGTGTTTTCGTTGAATACTAAATAATTTACGATATAGCTTTAAAATATATTCATTTCAACGTGCTAAGTTTAAAGCGTTCGCGGTGTACTATGAAAGTGTACGGATTAACATCAGTTAAACAAAACAACGAGAATCTTTAAACTGCAATAGTTACGTGATACAAGGAACAGGTGTCATGTATTCGTAGCATTTATTAGTTTTATATAGTTTACTTTTTTCTGGGTAGTGATTATTGTTTTGTTGTTAATTTACAATGGATGTTATACGCAGTATTTTTATAGCCCACTTAGCTATTATATATTGTTTTTAAATAATTTACTGTATTTGTTGCGAATCATTAATATTTATGGTTTTTCATAGAAACTGTAGATGTTATTAATACTATCTCTATCCGCATGTATTTGTAACAGTGTTAAGTCATCTTTATAATCAACACCTTATTTGGCAGTGGAAATTGTAAACAGAAACGTCAGAGACAAAAAAGTAATCGGTTCGTGTTATGATTCGTAATCCGTGATTTGGGTAATTTACTACGCTTCGAAATCAAGGTAGAGACTACATGGTGCTTACACCAATATCATTTTTATGGTAACCGTTACTTTATAAATTTTCACGAAGCTGGTAAAAAATTCGTTAATCTTGCAGTAAATATAATATTTTTATGGATTCTAATACTAGAAATCTGGCTCATCCCATATATTGGTGTATGACCACGTGACTAAATGTACATCTATACAAATTTACAATCCGAGGCAGAGTGAAATATTTATCAGCGTATTACTGTAATTCACAAAATATAAGTACAATTCAGTTTTCAAGGCACCGATCCTTTAATTCCATCGACCAATACATTTAAACTTCTAAATCCTGCGCGGTATAACGTGCGTACTGAGTTAAAACATGCCTCCCGATGGTTGATGGTTGCTCGATGCGAATAGTCAGCGGGTAGCATTCGCAGGCGTCGCATTGTTCGCCTCCTGGCTCCTTAAAATCGCCGATTTTTGTACTCAAGATTTTCAAATAACTTCAATGTAAAAACAAAATGTAATTATTTTTTTTCTTCTTTTTCGGCGTATTATTCTATTCGTTAAGATTTCAAACTGACAATTTACTTCACGCGATGAACTTGCCTGCGCGTTTTAATAATGTCGGATTGATACACCGTTTCAAAGGTACGTGCCCTATTAATTGTCACAGATGATTTGTTAATTGTACCTTGCAATGATTTAATTATCACGTGAAAATGAAAATTGAACGCGAAAAAGATTACACACGTAAAAATGAACCGCGAGGAGGATAGGAATACAAACATATATAATTAGGTCTACCGGAAAGCTCTGCCCGTTTTCGAATTAAAAAAAAATAATACATGTATTCATATTTACTGAACAATATAATTTCCATCGTTTAATCACCCGGTACAATTCTAAATAGACGCAGCCATGTATGTTTCAAACCCAGATAACACATTACGCCTTGAAGACATCCATTTTACGGGTATCTGGGAATGAACACTTTGAAACTTAAGATGACGTTATCGGTCAGAACTTTCCGGTAGACCTAATATAAAGAAAAGAATTCCGTTTGATCCGGAACAGCAAAATGAAAATGATTGATCGTCGCACGAACGAACCCGCGAAAAAATGATTTATTCAAACGAAGAACTTGGACGATCGAGACGGAATCGTCGAGGACGATTGTAGAGAAGCGAATCGATGAAACAAAAAGAAAAATAATAACTGTGTATACTTCGACCATCGAGCGACAGTTTCTTGGAGAACAAGAGTAGGAGAACTCGCGGCGGGATAATTGTACGATACAGCGAGTGAATTTTTATCTTTATAGAGGGAGAAGCGCCGCTCCCTACGATCGTTAAGATATTTCAGTTCCTTCGTTGACGAAAGGCGAAATTGAAGCCATCCCCCCTTCCCCCATATATACACTTCTTTGCTTTTCGTCCGAACCGTATCGATGCTCTGTCGACTTTATAAATATCCGAGTTACCGTATAAAAAAGACCTATCGATTATCATATCCCCGTTGTTTTTTCTCTGCAATGTTAATTAGTCGCGGCTCCATTCTGCAACTTCCATTTCTTTATGATTAAATGTTATTTAATTTTATTTAACACTAAAACTACCGACGATAAACGTATATTTGCTTCGATCGGTGGATAAACGTGAAGCACTTTCGAAAATTTAGAAATTGACTAATTTCTTCACTTTAATATCGTAATAAAAGGTGCAAAAGATCTGAGAAAATGTATTGTCATAACATTTTAATCGTTGTTGTAAGAGTGTATTGACAAGTCATTTTGACTTGCTTGGTAGTTCTAGTGTTGAAAGAAATTTCAATTTGCGAAGATTTATGCATTTTGTTGTGCTATATTACGCCCCTCCCCCCTCTTATCGATTAAGGAGGGCCCAAAAATTTGATAGTCCTGGAGCCGCAAAAAAATCTTAATTCGGGCCTGAGCGATCGTTGCTTCGTTGTCGAACGTGAAAAGATGAACGATCGATCGACTCATGGATCGCTGGATCATTGATATACGAGTTTACGCGCCGTGAAACTCGACTTTTGCCCCGTTCCAAAGAAATCGAACGAGCATGTATACATCCTGTACGACGATGTATACTGTCTGCGAAGAAAACGATCGTTCGGCAAGGATTCGGTATTTCCGACGACGATACCGTTTCCCTGGCTTTTTTTAAAATCCAACGGACTTGTTAATCGCCGTTCGTCTATAAATTCCCGTAAATATTTTCCCCTGTTCTCGTATTACTACCCTGTTCAGCGGCTCGATAAAAATAGGAGATCGTACAAAGGCATTGTTTACACGGAGGGGGAAAAAAAAACAAAAACCATGAACCGAGAGACTGGGTGTAGAACATTTCGTCCAACGGACGATTTCGATGACGGGTTCTCGGAGGGCACGAATAAGGGGGCCTTTACTGGGAATACAACATTAGCCCGTTACGTAGAGACCGTAGGCTGAACGAACAAAAGAGAAATTCTGGCGTGGTGAATGAAAGAGGACTCTCCTCATCTCCTCTTATCTTGTTCCGCATCGTTCGATTTTACGCTTCTATCCAGAAATCTCGGCTACGTTAATTACCACTTGAAATCGATCGAACACGTAGTAGTACTTGATCCCCCTTAAAGAGTATAACGGATCGAAGCACTTGAAACACTCTGGACCAGTGTTTCTCTGGTGATCCGTTTCTCGGTCTTCAATTTCGAGTTTACCGTGATGCTCAACGTTTCGTTTCTTCCCGATGATTTCTGATCGTTCCTGAATTGATTTTCGAATCGACTCGCCGTGGTACAAATAAATACCATCGCAACACCATCGACACCTGTTAAACGCAGCGTTGCGCGCTACCAACCAGAAGCGCGATATAATTAGTCGATCGTTCGACCCGATACAAAGGACATCGGTAGCGGCCGTCACACGATCGACCGTAACTGACTCTAATAGAGCGCAACTCGTTTCGCCAGAAGTTAAATTGCATTAAACGATTCGCCTGTTACAGATCTCCGATAAGTCCTATCAACCGGATACACAACGGATGATAACATCGATAAAAACCTGGCGAAGGGTACGGAATCGTCGTCGATCCAGAAACGGTTCTTGTAAGACGAACGACGCTGACGAATCGAATTTCTTTCAGAATATACCGACTCCGTGGTAGAAGAAGCAAAAACAGAAGAGGGAAAAAATGAATCGAGTTTGTTCCTCGATCGACAACGGAGGATCGACGATTTAAGAATGAATTCGTCCTACCTTTGGGGTGAAGACGATGAATGGGGACCACGATATTATTTCACTTACTACAATCAGTTTGGAAACCGAAAAGCAGCTAGCACGTTCGAGGTAACGAGAATTGATTTCGCGCATTGTATTCGTACGACTGTCGCCGCGAATCTGTTAATATCGGCGGAGTATCATTAACAATAAAGTAATTCTGAAGAGTGAAGTCGTCAGAAAAATCGTAAGGCTAAGGGTTCTTCAAGAAGTTCGAACTATAAAGAACACTTAAATAAACTTCGTGAAACTTTTTACCGTATTGAATTTTATACAATCGAATATTCTATAAATGCACAAAATCCGCAGTCTTCTAATTGCGAATAGAATAAAGAATCGAAGGTATGTAATCGCGTGCTTACAGGTGGTGGTATTAGCCGTTAGCTTTGTTTTGGCGGTTGCCAGCAACTTGGGAATAGCTGGCTGTATACTTGGATACAAGGAAATGCGAACGCCCACGAATTTGTGCTTGGTGAACTTGGCCGTCGCGGATCTTTTGTTCAGCTTCGGTGTACCAGCTGTCGCTTACACCAGACTGAGCCAGACCTGGTGTCTCGGGGAAACGATCTGCAAACTGTTGCCCTACTCCCAGGTATTTGGTCTCGCATTCCACGAATTCCATTTAACATGATCGTATCGTTATTCGTTTTAAATCAGGGACTTCTACCGAAATGTAAAATACCGGTATTTTCGATTGTACCTTCACCCTATACATATAAGCCCTATCCTTATAGAAACCGTAAAAATACTGGTATTATACCGGTATTTTCGGTTGTACCTTCGCCCTATATAACCCTATGTAAGCCCAACCCTTATAGAAACCGAAAAAATACCAGTATTTATTTCGGTTTTCGGTAATATATCGGTTTCGGTATAGCTTTGATGGCATAATATCGGTATCAAAATCATACCGGTTTAAGTCCCTGTTATAAATACCGATTATTTTCTTCACTTGCTACACAGTTTGTCTGCGGCTTCGTGCTGCTCTGGACACTGACGTTCATATCGATGGACAGGCATCGATGTTTGGCAATAGCTCCTTACAGAAGTGCCTTAACCAGACCGAAGGTCCTAGCGGCTAGTCTTGTCGTCTGGATCGTCGCGGCTTTCATATTCCTGCCGGTCATATTTTGGTTCAAACGGAAGGTATACCTTACACGGCCGATAAATAATTATTCGAGCAGTCGCTAATAATGTTCAATCGCGTATTAGAATATTGCGAGCGATCTGACGATCTGCACCTTGGTCTTCCCACGAAGCGAGGTCCTGAACGTTTCGCTGTGCTTCACGGTACCGATCATCGTTCTGGCTTGCCTTCTACCGATGGTCCTTCTGGTTTACCATTATCAACGAATCTTCCAAAAGATCCTCGACTCCCGAAGCAGATGGGCTGTACCGTGCATTACGCAAGTAATTCAATTGTCTCCCTATGTTTTCGCATAACCCTTGATATCATACGACACGTTATATCCTCTGCACAGCAAACTTTCTAATCGAGCGTTTGTGATGTCACGGTCAATCTATTTTTCTGAACGAAAGGTACAAATATATCCAGGGGTTGGAGAACGGCGGCGCAACAGGTAGAAGAGATTCTGAGCTATCGGTGGTCGGAACGTTGCTACCTTGGCCGGGAAGAAAGTTGTCCAGTGCGTCGGTGACAGGGCGGCTAGGACGAGCCGGTAGTCTTTCGCAGCACGAGGAAATACGGTTGCACAAGCATCTACGTGTCGTACGAATTTTACTGCTAAACGTGCTGGCCGTTCTAATCATGTGGCTCCCGATAACCACCGTGATGCTGTTGATTTACGTGGACGGCAGACGACCTGTCGAGGACACAGATTTCTTTCTGAGATCCCATCATTTCGTTTGGACACTGATTGTCGCGCAATTCAATACCATAGCGAATCCTCTCCTTTACGGTGTATTCTCCGAGAATTTTCGCGTCTGTTTCGCGAAACTTTGGCGACGTAGACTCGACAGCAATACCAGGACCGTGCAACAACGCAGAGGATCCAAGAGAAACTCGAAAACATTGGAGGCGTTTCAGATCCGGTTGGGCAGCGTCAGAACACCGAACAGCTCCAGAAATCCACCAAAACACTCGAAGAAAAGCTCCAGTTGCAGTATAGGTAGTATCGTTGAAGTACCTACCTCGGAGAAGTTATGAAAAGATCGATTAAATGAGTGTAGAATAAAGTACTTTTGTTTCGAAAATTCGTGTTTTAATTATGTTCAGTTGTACAAGACGAAATATGTTAAAATGTAATGAAAAATTTTATAAATATCGATTTAACAATAGTTTTATCGATCAAACAATTTTCAAAGTCTACTTCCGACGGAACGGTGGTTCTTTTGGTTTCAGTAAATGTGACTTGAAGATCTTTAAACTAAATTACCTTCTGAACGCAATTCAGTTTTACGCATCGCTAAATTCTCTTCTTACAATTCTCTTAATTTCGGACAACTTTTTCATATCAATATTTCCTTCTCGTATAAAATTTTCGAGTATAGCAATTTTAGAGTTTATAAAATTTGTCTTGTCCGACCTTGTTTTCTTTTTCTTGGTTTTTTCGTTCAGAGGGTAAGTTACATAGTTCCTTGTAAGACACCAGGGATGTCCTTCATCTTTCAATGTGATTAAATCTGTTGTGACCTGCAACGAATTGACTTTTTTACCCTCTGGTATACAAATATCGACTACAGTCTCCTGATCCCCTGCTTTTTTTGTACAAGATATATTTTCCTTTTCTAATTTCACATTCAGGACAACCCAACTGTGCTTTGGAAATATATCTTCAAACCTTGCTGACAAAAACAACTTATCAGCTATCCTGTGTATTGACATTTTTGGACATACTTGTACTTTATGTTTGTGAGCATACAAATTTATTCTTTTCAATTTATCTTCTTCCATTAGTAATATTTCGTTTAATCTGTGTATTTCCTGAGTTCCTTTATAAATCCTGTCCATTATAAGATTAGTGCCTACCAACATATCCAAACGAAGGTTAATCAAAGTATCATGTTCAACTGATAATGTCTTTTCTACTGTATCTACAGAAATCTCTAACAATTGTTTATCCATGGTTAGGCCCAAAATTATTTTTGAATTGTAACATTGTAAACAAGCAAAGTTGTTATCTTGAATGCTTAATTTCTGAGCATTGTCCACTAGTAATTGCTTGTGTACATAATACAGTTTAGACCCATCAGAATAGACAAACCATAATGCATCCTGCATCGATCGACTAAAGCCTGCACAGAGAGCCTGTATATTTGTTCCTAAACACACCTTCTCAAAAGCCATTGTATCATCTTTTGCATACATTACAATAACAATGTCCGCTCCAGTGAGAAACAACAAAGCAGCAACCATTGAATCTTTTAGTACAGGTATTATGTCTCTAATAGAATAAACACTATTGTATATTATTTGAACAGTTCCGTTCATTAATGTCAAGACTTTCTTTCCAGTTGTCAACAGACATAAATTTTCTACAGTGGAATCCTTATTTGTTATTGTCCCGATGAACTGCTGGTTCGTATTTTCTCTATTCAGTGGATATACACATAACTCGTTTGAATTGCTTTCCTCATAAGAAAATTGAAATAACAGTTTATTCGTCTTAGTTTGTTTATTATCTAAGTACAGATATTTATTTCTCACTGTCAGTATTTCATAGAAAACAGTGCCCATTCCGATCGCACTTGTACTTAAAATAGCAAATTTTCGATCCCTCGAAAGTTTATATATTCCGTGTGGAATGCAAACTAAGAAAATTCGATTTGTGAAACACTGTACATTTTTTATCGGAGCCGGAGCTGTCAAAACTTCAACGGATACAAAATCATTGTTCGTATACGGAAATATTATAAGCTTGTCTTCATTCCAACAGAAACAAGTCTTTTCATCGTAAAACATACACACGATAAATTGTTTTGGGACGAAATGATTATTTGTCGTGATGTACATTATAACTATACAGATTCAACCTGATTCAACAAAAATACTGACATTTGCTGACTGTTGGTTAACGGTTGTCTGACTCATCTCACTCAGTCTCGTCCATCGTCGCGTCACGATCGGTGGATATCGTTATCTTAGGGCAGTCCTGTCCAATATTCTACGAAAATATTTTTACCATTTGGTGTATTCATATATTTATGTACGTATATTTTAGTCATTATTGCATTTATTAGGCAACGCCCTCATAAAACGGAAAAACAAACGTACAAGGACGATATCCCAGAGATGTAATTCTCTATGGTAAAAATCAATGAAAATGTAGGAAACGCAGATCTTCTCGAATAGGTTAGCGATATATATTTAATTGTTGATTGAAGGATCGAAGTCTCAACAACAGAAGGACAATTATTTTGTTACAAGCTCTACGCATTATTTTATTAACAGCAAAAGTACATAGAAAATATCTTTTCATTATAAAACATTTAAAATATCTCTGCTCGTGGAATGATTAAGCATTCCTAAAAAAAATCGTTTTAACAATTAAAACATTATTCCGGAAGACCCCCGCAAGTATTAAAGCGGTATTTCACTTTCTTAAGTATTTACAGTGATAGTCTACAAAGGTTGTAGAAAAATATATTTATAAACTATTCAAAATAAAAAATTTATAATATTACTATAAACTTCATAAATTTTTTTAACAATGTAATTGATCATAAATAAAAAAGGTAAAAAAAATCTCACTGATTCAATACTAACATACACTTAAACATTTGCTATATAACAGAAAACATCAGAAAGAACTGTCAGAATCAAAGTTGCAGTTAGTTGCAATATAGACAATACTTAAATCTCACTGAAACCTTTAGGAGTACATGGAATAAAAGGTCACTTTTAAATTGCCAACGAAAACTGAATTACAAGTTGCTCTTAAGGAACGGTTTCAAATATTTTTCAAAAGACTCGTTCACACTCTTCTGATTCAAAGGACTCTTCATTGCTTCTGCAAACAATCGCTCATAGACATTGCCGTCATAAGCTCCCAGAGCCGATCCAAGGATTTCATCACGAATATCGAAACCGTCAACGATTCCGACAGCGTTTGGACGGATGGCCATTAATAATTCTTCCAGTCGCGCTTGAAGTGCCGGGACATCCTTATTTCTCAACGGGGAGAACTGGAAAAGTAAAATCAGATGAAAAAAATTCTTTGGGATAACTTGTATACATATATAGTACAAACTAAGAAAGTTAACACACTTTCAGATGGAGTTCTAAGTTTCAAGGAATTCTTAAGAACATTTTTCTAATAATGAGATCAACGTATGTATTTTATACTCACTTGAAGGAAGTCACCGAGTCTCTGCAACACCCAGTATACAGCATACAGTTCACAAAGTTGCTGCATGACGTCACGCAATTCTTTAGACACCGAGGTAATTTCTTGAACCGATTGTACAAATCTCATCACTATGAACGCTCTGCAGTGAGCCTCCGCGCAACGAGCCAATTCGATACTCGTTTGGTTCCACGCGTCTTCAGCCGATACTCCACTGCGTATTCTACGGTCCATATTCTCTGTCGCCAAACGAATCTTTCTGTAAGAAAATAACGACAACTTCTAGTAGAATTTTGCTGTTTAATTAAAGCATGTTTCTCTCCAACATTTTCGTACAATGAAAAACACTTTACATAATTATTATCAGACAATAAAAAAAAAATTACCCTGCAGCCACTGCCTGATGAGCCTTAATAATGCAATTCACACTATTCTTCCATGGATGTTGTTTGACGCCCGCCGTAAGAATTGTGAGATACTGTACGGTGTCCGGTAATGACTGGCCGCTGACAGCTAGTTTCCAAGCTTTAACTAAATATCTAGCTGTTTGTAGCAATAGAACAGTGTTCTCCCCTTCATAGGTACAGATAGCAGTGACTAAGCCATAAGTCGCTGGAAGATTGCTGGCGTCCATGTATCCATGACCACCACAAGCCAATCGTACTTGTTCTACTCCGGTTGCTGCGTCTGAGGATGCCACTGCCTTCAAGCAACACGACAATGCATGCAGCTGCAACGAAAGGTCGGTATTATAAAAACAATAAAACTGAAAGGTACAATTAAAAACGATCGAAACAAACGAGATTCAGCACCTCGGGCAGTCTGTCCAATTCGCCCTGATCTAATTCGGCTGTGACGTTATTGTACATGTTCCAAATCCAATCCGCGGACATTCGGAAGGCAAAGCACGCAGCAAGGTTCGGGAAAATTTTGTACTGTTGTGTTACATAGTTAATAATTTGTGCCTCGGGTTCCCTAAAAGAAGAACAATTAAATGATTTCGTATTTAATTTATCGATGACTATATAACATAACAAGTGAACATTGTAGCAATAATTTACATACTGCATATTGATATTTACTCGAACATACCGATTAACAATTTATTTAATGAAATATACTCAATGTTAGTACTTCAAGGTTGTCTTCGGTTTTCTTACTTACTCGGTATTTATTTGACTCTGACGTCGTACTGCGCTATATCTAGTCGCGATCGTAACGGCTTTCGATAAATAACTTGCAATGTCATGAACCAGAACTACACGAACGAACATCATCGTGCCATAGGTCAATTTGTCATTTAACGCTCTCACGTACGTTCCATCTTCAAGTACCTACAATAAAATAAGACTAGATCATGCACTCCTAATTATTGGTGATTTTATTTACAGTTCTATTTATGCAAATAACATAGTAAGTTACCTTCTACATGTACTGCCATAGAAACATGACCGAGCAAAAAACATACAAAAAATACATATAATTGTGACGCATTAATCTGTCGATAAACAAGTTATGCAATATAGAATAACCGATGTCTTCATAGTTTTAGTGAAGAGAAATAGAACTGTCTCCTTATTAACGTGTACTTTGTGAAAGTTACTACTTTCTCTGTTACCTGAGTGTTTTTCATGAGCATGTTCTCGCGTGGTATTCTGAAATTGTGGAATCCGAGGAAGCCATTGTTTGTCGCGTTCATTCCCAACTTGGTACCAATTTCTCCAATTTTAATGCCTGTACAATAATAAGATATTATAATAAATTTTTCTATCTTAGAATAACGACTGTATAAATCGATATTTATGCACCTGGTAACGGTTCGTGTGTATCTTCGTGTCTTAATTGTACAATAAAAGGGTGGATTCCTCTACATTCTCCTTTTGTATACAACTGTGCAACAACCACAGCATAATTTGCTGTATGACCCACTGGATATTGAATATTAAAATTATAATGCAAGTATTTCAACGAAAATCAATTACTGTACCAGTAATATATTAAATACTTACAGCCACCAGGCCACCATTTATAGGATGTTAAAGTAGGGCTGTTTAGTATAAACTCTTTTGTTTGAGGATCATACGTTGCTGTTGTTTCTAAACCTCTAATGAAAGTACCATGACCCAGTTCAGTCTGTAACAAAGACAGAAATATAATATTTCCATCTAAACATTACTAGAACTACTTATACTATGATACTTAAAACTATTATTATACTTTACCTGAGCATAAGTTCCAATAATATTGCCACCCCAAGATTTGGATATCCAGTACTCTTGCTGTTTTGGGGTTCCTTGACCCATAATCGCTGGGAGAAACATGGCATAATGAACCACTAGTGGATTTCCATCTTTCAAAATACCAGAGCCAAACATTCCTCCTAAAATATGCCTGAAAGATGTTTTCGATGAGAGACAAGATTCTTCTTTTCATTGAATAAAATTTAATAATGAAGAACATACGTAAAAACATCCATGCCAGCTTTTCCTTGCTCTTGCAGTTCTCGTACCTTCTGCAAAACCTTACATGCTTTACGCACTCCATCTTCATATACTTCCTTGTGGCTCTTATATTTGACTGGCACATTATCCTGTAGGTCTGGATCGTCCAGGAAAAATTGTTCTAAAATACAGGAGTTATAATATTAAGGAATATACTGGTTTACACTTCTTCAAAATTAAATATATTTATTTTAATATTTCATTTCTGTAATTATGCTGTAATCATTCTGTAAAATTATGTTATAAAGGCACTGTCTGTTGGTATGAATTCTAATTTTCTCTAGAGTACAAATCTCATGAAGAGCTTGAGTTGTATATGAATGACTCACAGTTAACAAAAAAATAGGTGTGCCTGTAGGCATTGATAGATGAGAAGACAACTTTTGTGATTCCTTGGAATAGCTTAAGATGTAACATATCTTGTAATACTGTTAATTGACATTTGTTGTCATTTGACATGAATATTATTTGATATTAATTGAATATTAATTGAATATTATTAAGAACGTTTCATTATTCATGATTATTATATTACTATGGATTAGGCACATTTATGCATAGTTGGATAAAAGTTCTATATTAATAATCAATATTAAATCTTATTTTAACATTATTTACAACAAGATTATGCAAGAAATTTTCAATAATCTTATCAGGAGATTACATGCAATCTGGCAGATTAAATATCACGATCGCACACATAAATATTCCTACATCGGAAGTACTCTTTGATCTTTTACAGATAAAAAGAAACTGTTCTTCGAGTCGTAAACTTGGCTTAATAAGGAAACAGAATTAACACTGCCAATCAATCCGTCATCAAATCCGTGATTACATTGAAATGACCTCCGCAATTCAAATCTTAATTAAAATTCATTGACTGGTAATTTTAATTTATTATTACGAAAACAACGGGATAAAAGCATACGAAACTATTAAGGTATTTAGGTATTTCGCCTAATTAGAGTCCGTATTGCTTCAGAAACGATCCTTTAATTATTACCGTTACAATTATTGATATATGCCAGAAAACACTGGAAATTCCATATTATTTCTTAATTTATTACGAACATGAAAACTGACAATTGATGGTAGAAAAAAGAACTGAATAACAGAGAAACAGTCACAAGTATTTCGATACCAGTTTCTACGCGCAGATAGATTATCAATTATTTCATTCCGTTAACTTGATCTTTGTTTATTCGTGTTTATCAATTTATTTATTTATAGATCGAAATGTTGTACAGAGTACATCCAGCTGTAATGTAAATAATTACTACATAGTACGATCATACGACGAATCCCAAATAGCACACTACGCCTTTAAGACGCTCATTTTACGGCTATTTCAGGTCTAAGGCGTCTTTAAGCCGTCTTCAAGGCGTCATGTACTGTCTGGGATGTTTTTGCTATTTAGTATTCTCTAAGCTCAAACGGATTATCGATACAATATACACCAAATTAAAAATTCAAGTAATAAGCATCTGTCAAAAGTAAAACTGATAACATTTTAAATATATGTTGAAGTATATATTTACCTCGTTCACGACGACGTTGAGTCTTCTCGAGGCCACCGTCGAGAAGATGAGTTAATTCCAACGGATCAAACGTGCACCGTTCCCGTTCATATTGCAAATCCTTGTTCACAGTCATTGTCTTCTGCATACTCATTGATGATTCACTGTGCACTGTCGCTTCCGTATAGATTTGCATCACACTGAACTAATCATCCACAATACCAGTCGCTACTCCGAATATCAATGTTTGTAACAGTAACGTCACTTTTGTATAATCAATTATCAGCACAGATCAAATGTGTAGATAGATCCAGCGAATGGTAAACACCTTTGTCCACCTTTGTCCCATGTTCCAAAGTGCTGCGAATCCACTCACATATTTTCTCCTGTCACTTTCCAGCTGCCAGCACGGCCAGCCCCCCGTCAAAGATAGCGACACGTTGTACAATACATGAATGAACCGTACAGCATTGTATATCTTCTTCTTACTACTTAAGAAACACGGTTGGCGGGAAATTTTACTTCGGATTTTCGTTCAAAATTCGTGTCTTCGATTTTCCTCAGGTTGGTTACAATATTACTAAATCACTCATTGTCAGATTGAACATTTTGCATTATTAACTTGGATTACGATCAATTCAGATTAACAGATAGATTAACACTGTTCGATTCGGATTAAGTACTCATTTATTGTTTTCTTTTATTTCACGATAATTATTAAAAAATTTCTTATGTAAAACTATTCTCTATTGAAACCAATAATTATTTGTTTAACTTACCATCGTTTGTGGTTGTATATATTTCAATACAAAGTGAATTATAATCACGTTAAGGTTATCAAATGATTATGTTATGCCTAAATAAAATTTAAGGAAGAAATAGAAATTAATATGTGAAATTTACTTTTATTCTTGTAGCATTATTTGAAAATTCAAAGTGAGGTCGCTTTCTGTTTCGACACTTCCGTTGAGCGGCCGAAAATAGGAAATGTGGTTTCCGCCATTTTGTTCTTCTTTACCAAGGAGAACTCATAGACTCCGTCATGAGGTACGAACCCTCTTAAGATTTTATATAATATTTTGACAGTACTACTTAAAATTGAATTCGTGTCATATAAATTATTACGGGAAATTCTTTTATTCTTTTAGAAATGCAATTTTTGTTTGAGAACATGGTATTTTCCTATTTTTGTATTGATAGTTTGTTGACGGCTAACCACATGGTTCTGTGTATCCACTTCATGTTCTTTCGTACATTATGCAGTATATGATCAGTTTTTTTTTAATTTTTATGAATGTGTTAATTAAATAACGCGTAAATAATGTCTCACAACGTTCAGAACTACGTTTTATGTTAACAAATAATCCTCATGCCATAACCTGGTTTTGTTTCTTTCAGTTCGTTAAAGTTACAGAAGAGGCTTGCAGCCTCTGTTATGCGATGCGGCAGAAAGAAGGTTTGGTTGGATCCTAATGAAATCAATGAAATTGCAAACACGAATTCTCGTAAGTTTCAATAACTTGAATAATTTTTTTCCCTTAAGTTTAACTTCAATAAAGTACCGTTCCATCTTCCATTCTTCTGCAATATGTGTAGTGATGGGTTATCAGATTGTTCAAACTCCTGACACGAAGTTCAGTTTGTTCAAACTTTTTCAGGAGATCGAATACCTTACTAGGTTCAAATTTTCTTTAAACTTGTTTGTCAGTGAATCCACCACTAAATGTGTGTACAAATTTTCTTTTCTTTTAGGACAAAGTATTAGGAAACTGATCACAGATGGTCTCATCATTAAGAAGCCTGTAGCTGTTCATTCCAGAGCACGTGTCCGTAAAAATACTGAAGCCAGACGTAAGGGACGTCACTGTGGTTTTGGTAAGAGAAAGGGTACAGCGAATGCTCGAACTCCACAAAAGGTGAATAAAAAGTTTTTCTTTACCGATCGCCATTTAAATGAATCTGTAGAAAGGCAGAATGATTCTCAGTGTAGAAGTTAACACTGTGCACTATTTTATTATTGAGTATTTGTATTGTTTGTAGGATCTGTGGATTCAAAGAATGAGAGTTCTCCGTCGACTCTTGAAGAAATATCGTGAGACAAAGAAGATTGATAGACATCTATACCACTCCTTGTACATGAAGGCTAAGGGTAATGTGTTCAAGAATAAGAGAGTCTTGATGGAATTTATTCACAAGAAGAAGGCTGAGAAGGCAAGAGCAGAAATGCTTTCTGATCAAGCCGAAGCGCGTCGTACTAAAGTAAGGGAGGCGCGTAAACGAAGGGCAGAACGTATCGCTACGAAGAAACAAGAGTTACTACAGTCGTATCAACGCGAGGACGAAGCAGCGGCAGCGCAGAAGAAGTGATTTAAGAATCATAAAAACTATTGTAAAAATAAAACATAAAAAGACAAAATCTTTTTTTATTATTTCAAGTTAGTCGTCCTCGAAAAATGGAATTTTACGTGTAGTATACAAAATATGTAGCTGCTAGAACCCTTTAGAAATTTGATAGTATGTAAAAATTGCATAATTGATTTTTGTTTTTAACATTTTGAAATACGGAACGTAACGATACTTCGTTTCATAATGGTTACTCAAGTTGTCCATTGTTTACAATTATAGATATTTAAAATGTTATTACGTGTGTACATATTTCTTTTTAACGATATCAATATAAATTTAAATATACCAGATAGATATTTTATTTTATTAAAGGGGTATTATTTTACAGATTAAATATATAAATTGTATATTTCCGAAATTAATTTATGTCAGTACCGGTGGTACCCGTAGATGGAAGCATTGTTACTTTGCAGGACATGGCGAGAAAATTGAGTACACAATGTCTAAAAATTGAATAAAAGTGGACGAACATAATTCTTTCCCGACGCGCAGTGTTAACGAATATATATTTATAACAGGATCAAAGGTACTCTGTTCATGTATGATATATTACAGTGATGTACTGTTTAATGACAACTTCTGTTGAACATAAGGAATACACATAGGTTAGAAAAATGGATTTATATATAAATACAAGAAATGTACAAGTATGCGAAAGAAGTAGAAAACATTTAACGAAAGAAATTATGTTGTTTTTGAGAGAAATATTCCTTAAAATTTTAAAACGTTCATATTTCTTCAAAGTAATTGATAAACTGCTAAAAGGTTTATGTAGCGTGACAAGAAACGTTGTCGTATGGTATTTTCTGTGAAATTATCAGTTATGTGATGACGTCACATATTTATTTCTTAAAATCCAACTTAGAAAACAATATTTATATATCAGTGTTTTTTATAATATATTCAATACTACATTTTCTAATATAACATACAGGTAGTGCATACTGTTGAAATCATAAAAATAATCATTTGTTTAACACTTAAAGTATGTCAACATTGCATCATCATTGTTGGTGATTGAATAAAACATGACAACGTGAAATTATTTGAAATTTCAATTTCAGATATTTATGTAATCGTATATTGTTTAAATTCTATTAACTTCTGAATAATCTGATAAGTTACATATTCTATATATCATTGTATTCAATATGAAATTACAAGTTGCAAGTTTCATGTTATTTACAGATTATTTAAAGATGATTCAGACGTTAATCTGTATGAAAATCAACTCCTAATACTTTCTTGTGAAAGTATAATATATGCAAAATCATATATGAAAACCATTATTACCCATAAGGGAAAATATTTTGGCTCCTAAAGTTATATTGGTGTTCCTAGTTGGATACTACGTATGTCTGTGACTGAGAACTGATAGAGATGGACCTGGAGGCACATGTCCGTAAATATTTGTGCATTTCAATTTAACACCAGAATTTTTTTCATTTTATTTTTTTCCTCTTGTAAATTTATTTTCTTAATTATTTAATTCTTCTAAGGAGCTAATTATATTATTCATACATTACATCTTTCTTGCATGTTCTAATATTATTATATATTTTAAAACACTAATCACAGTACATTAATAATTTTCAGGTAGAATTATTATTTAATTTTATACATGATGTTACTATAATTTAGTTCTGTTGTTTAAAGAGATGATAATTTAATGATTCAACAGAGGTTTAATTATCTCATAAATATCTTTATTCATTTAACATATTTTTTTTTTTTTGTGATATGCTTTGATATACATATATATATTTTATTTGGTACATTTATGTGTAGTTTTAAGAGTCAATAGTGTTTCCAGTTGTAATTTATTAATATCAAATCATTTTATTCTAGATAATACAAACCGGTCAGCCAAAGTTCTGTACACGTTCTACAGCCAGGCACCTAATTAAAGAACAACCAAAAACTGGATTAGTTTCAAGTTGCGATTTCACAATTACGCACGATACTAAGGAATTATCAAATATATCTATCGTACACGGTAGATATTTAAAAAATATTGAATCATAAAACACATTATTTCTATCCTGTTTTGTTTACTGAATACGTATAAAACCATTTATGTTTCATTTTCATTTTTAGGCAAGATTGAGCCTGATCGATCGGGATCTTTACCATTGTCGGAATTACCGGTAGCTGTAAACATGACCGAAAATAAAGTAAATATCCCAGAAAAGACAAGAGATAAAGTGAAAGCTGAACGTGAAGCAAAGAAGGTAGCTAGGGCGCTTGCTAAAACAAAAGCGAAAACTGCTAAGGTAGAAAATAAAGATAGCTTAAACAATAAACCTGTATCGCCTGACTGTCCGAAGAATACTCAGATAACTGTGACACCGAAAAGTGTACCTAATGAAAATGTCCAAGATCAGAATAACACCCTTACGATAAATAAAACTTCTAATACATGCGTAAAAAGTGCATCGTCCGAAGTTAACAATGACGTTAAAAGTAAAGCAGAGTTACGTGCCGAGAGGAGAGCAAAGCAAGATGCGCAAAGAGCAGCTAAGCAACAACTGTTATTGGAGAAAAGTAAAGTGAAGACTGAAGAGAATAAAGACAATAAAACGCGCGTAGCACAACAAGTCACAGGTGGAACTGATTCCGCAAAGAAGTCTACAACACCTAAGAAAAGTGTTCCAAAAGATAATACTCATGAAATAAATCTCTTCAAACATTTGTACCACGAAAGGACGCAAGCGATTGTAGATGTTCCTTCTGTTAATTCAAAAATACATCCAGCAATAGTCAGACTAGGGACACAATACGCAAAGAAAGTGATAGTTGGCAGCAACGCAAGATGCGTTGCACTTCTGGCCGCTGTGAAGCAGCTTATTGAAGATTTCGAACGACCATCGCAGGCTGATTTTATCAGAGGTCTCGAGGCAAGCTTGCTAGAGTCTGTGGCGTATTTGCATCACTGCAGACCATCGGCTGTTTCTATGCAAAACGCATTGAGGCACCTACTGAGGCAAATGACACAGTTACCTTCTGCGTTGTCTGACGCAGATGTAAGTAATAATTTTTAAGTTTATTTAAAAGCACCGATGAAGACACCGCAATATTGTGTAATTTCCTGTGTTCTATAATCCTCTATAAAATTTGTTAACTTATATTTATTTAGGGTCTGAGGTACTTAAATTTTGCATAGAAATGTAATGCAGCACCAGTTCGTGTAGGCGTAAGTAGACATATTTGGTGTATCTTGAAAATACAATTATACGTTTCAGGCAAAAAGTAAATTAAGTAGTGCAATAGATACTTATATTCTCGAGCAGATAGAACTTGCCGACAAGGCAATATCAATAACAATTCAAAAAAAGATATCCAACGGTGATGTGATCTTGACATATGGCTAGTAAGTATCTGCGCATTCTGAATAAAAGCGACATCAGATTAAAAGATACCAAGTGTTTATAGGAACTCTTACATTAGCAATAAAATCGATACTGCTTTTAGTTCGTCTTTGATTCATAAAATCTTATTAGACGCGCACACTGCGGGTAAACAGTTTCGTGTTATTGTTGTGGATGGGAGACCCTGGCTGGAAGGAAAGGAACAGCTAAGGCGTTTAGCGAAGCACAGTATCGAATGCTCCTATATCTTAATTAATGCTTTGAGCTACGTCATGCCAGAAGTAAGTATAAAATAGACCGTTTATTTAATTCTGTTCTGTGATGATTAATTTATCTCCCGTTACTAAATAGGTAAGTAAAGTGTTCCTGGGTGCTCATGCAATATTGGCTAACGGCGCGGTAATGTCAAGAGCTGGTACTGCCCAAGTTGCCTTAATGGCGAGAGCTTTCAATATTCCAGTTTTAGTTGCTTGCGAGACCCACAAAACCTACGAACGTGTACAGACGGATTCTATCGTTTATAATGAATTAGGTAAGCGTTATTGTTCACTTTAGAATGACAATGTACGGATCGTTTGAAATTCTTTGGATCTGAACTCCCAGAAGCAAAGAGTACCTTAAAAATCTAGCTGTTTCTTGAGAGCTAATTACACTGAAATATACTCGAGGAAGAGACTAGAGGGCACGAGCATTACTTTAATATTTAAATATCCAAAAGTATTTTTAATATTTCAGGCAACGCGGATGAACTTGCACAAGGGTATGCTATGAAGAAGTGCCAGCTCACAAATTGGAAGACCAAGAAATCTTTAAACCTTTTAAACATTACGTACGATGTTACACCAGCTGATCTGGTCACAGCTGTTGTCACAGAATTGGCAATTTTACCATGCACTAGCGTTCCTGTAATTTTACGAATCAAACCGTCTGAAATTTAAGTTTTGCAACAATCAACTATACAGGATGTGAAATTAAATGTATTACAATCAAATGCTGTAACTGAAATGTGATATGAAACGTTTATTTGTCGCGGGTGTTGTTTAGTATCAAAAAGTAAGTGATTCTTTTAGTATGGTCGTAAAAATTTAGAATGGTCCTTTACCCAATACTTCTACGTTATCGCATTGGTTACACTCTGAGTGTTTGTAGATGTTGTACTTACGAAAAAGAGTGTTGAAAATGTGAATGTTTTAAAGCGCACAAAAACTGAACAACCCGAGCCTAAAAGAATATTTTTCAAATACTTTAAAAAAAAAAACTAGAACTTTGCTATGCTATTTGCGTTCACATGCATAAAACTTATTTAATTTACAGCCTGGAAACCGTACTTTCGTGCCGCAATAAAAAAGATAAGCATCTCGAATTTTTATTTGTATCTTTTAAGAAATTGGTACATGTATTATATGTTATGTATATTAGAATAAACCATCGAAAAGTAACTTGCATACAAGATTATGTGCAATATCCGTGAACCCTTATTACCATTTAAACCAATTTGAATCGAAATTTTCGAACGCACAGACTTACATAGGATATGTAGTGTATCCACTGTCAGTAGCCAATTGCAGCCAATTCATTGTAAACGAACGTCACGTGATAAGTTTTCAAATTCTACTCCGTTAAGATAGAGCGAACTGTGAACGCGTACGTCATACGTGGTCGTACGTCATTCAGGCAAAATCTGGCGGCGGTTTTGTTATTCTCGTATTAGAAACATAACCTATATCAAGAAAATTTGACAATGGATTTTAGCACTGTAGCTGTAGTACAATTTAAACTCGTTGTTCTCAAGTGAATATTTTGTGATTTTAGATAAAGTTGTTGCGTTCGTTACTTTTTAGTCAACGGTGTATTATGAAGAAAGATGTACAGTTTACTAGTTCGAAAAGGACTTGCCAAAATATTTCTTGGAAGATCGGTTTTATTCTATTCGAAACGGGCGGATATTCGTAAGATATTGTCTATTCATTTAGGACTAGACAATGATACTATTAACCATGTTATGCAGGGCAAAACTATATATAATTCTAAAATACCTGAAAAACAAATTATACAAAATTACTCGATCCTTAAGGTACGTATTCTTTATAATACAATATAATACCATATAATTTGATTTTACTAATCATTATTCTTGTTTACATCTATTAGAATATGACAGTGAATATGGATAACCCATATTATTTATTAAATTGTCTAAATATTGATTCCAAAGTATTGAGTCATAGGATTTTACTGCTTGAAGAAATGGGTGCTAGAAACATATCTTTGGAACATATTTCCAGGTAAGTCTATGTTTTTAAGTTATACGTAGCAATGTATTTTTTGTATTAATATCGTTCCAACAATTACTTCTAACTACTCTTTCATAAAATGACATCAATATTTTAAACAACATAATTGAATAGGTATGAAGTAATTGTACATTTAAATAGTTGAACAAGTTTTGATGAAGAATTGTGGATTCCTAGGATATATAATCATTCCTAAAGTTGTAAGTTCCATTGTTGTAACTCTAAGTTTCTTTAATTTGTTTTATGTATCAGATTTCCAACATTTATGCTCAAAACGATAAAATCATTTAAGCGATATCACAATATCCCACACGATGAATGTATAGCAAAAAACATATTCAAAAGTATTGGATTGACCTATGATGCCAATTTTGAAACAAAAGAATCCTCTACATGTATGTCGCAGTTGTATCTCCTATGTTTAGCATATTATAAAACAGTTTATCTCAACATAGAAGTAACACAGTTTCTGTGGAAGAAGTATCGGAGCTTCAGGGTATTACATAAATTAGCAAATATTTTTAAAAAGGATCTTCGCCTGAGCAAAGATTTCGTAAGTGTAGTTATTTCTTATATAATCTACATGGAAATTATTCTACAAAATCATCTGAAATATAATTTAATTTATGTTACAGTTAAACAGAAATTCCTTTCTGCTAAATTTGGATTTGGATCAAGTAACTAATTTTATAAATAAATTCAAAAGTGTTCAAATATGTGGAGTAGACAGTTACGATGTGATAAGAAAGTGTCCACGCCTCTTGCGTTGGGATGCAAATAATACCATAGACTTGCTAGATATCTGCAATAAATATGGAATATCGGATGAAATAATTCATCAACATATAGATGTTTTAAGATTGAAAAAACATGACTTTATCAATAGATATAGTACATTGGCAAACCATCCTGAATTTAGTGTGTGGATAAAGCATCCGATGCTGCCATACGTGATGCTAATAATTAAATGCGCTATGGAACGTGTGGAAATTCTTCGTAGCATGAATCGTTTGGGCAATATCTCTTTTCATACACTTTATACTACAAGACGAACTTTCTTCAGGTTGAAAGAAATATGAAACGATAAATTACGCTTACCGATAATGAAGTGAATCTTCTTTGCTTAAATGAAAAATTTCCTTTTACAGAAGTTACGCGCATGGCCGACATCCTCAAGTAGCTAAGAGAAGGTGTTTCCAATTTATATTTAAGGAACACCTTGGAGAAGACTATCTACATTTGTCTAATTATATAACAAGACATCCTCATTGGAGAAATATACCATTTTCTCATGTAGCGAAAATGCTAAAATATTTAAAGTCAATTTATTCGGTGGAAGATATATCTCAAAACATTCAAATCATATTGTATCCACAGTAAGTTCATAAGCATAACAAAATACTTATATATCCCTGATAATCTTACAAATTACAAAGAAATCCACAGGATGAAAACTGTTGGTCCTATCTTTAGTTATTATGTAAATTTCTTAACAGTTTATCAGGAGATGTGAGAAATATTGTTTTTAATGCAGGGACGTGATCAAGAAAATGTTGACGACAATAAATGACAGGTGTGCCGCAAACAAAGAAAATGATTTCACTCCAAGCCAACGTCTCGCATTGTGTGTATACATGTTAGAGAAAATGTACCATTTTACTGGCGATGCCGTTTGGAAAATAATGTACAGTGACGAAAATGAAAATACTATGTTGAACGCTCCAGAAAACCGAGATGACGTCAATTTCGAGGATTTCGACGAATGTCTAAATGGTGTGTAGATAAAGTGAAGTAAAATACAGTGAACACGTAATGTAATAGCGTTTACTATACGGATAAAAAATACACTTCCTTTTTTAGAGAAAAATTATTTTTAAGCACATGAATTGTATTACCATTACTTAGGTATCATTAGATATGGTCAATTTATTAAAAATTATGCTTGTATACAAATTAGATATTGCTATATAAGATAGTAACTACGTTACTGGATTCTTTTAGAAAACATTTCGAAACACAACTTTGCCAAATTAATAATCACATGTTTTAATAATTCACTCTTATATAGTAATCTGGCCAAGAAAAGAAAGAATAGGAGGATATGCAAACACATGGTATATATTTTTTTTTTTTACAAACGTTGCACTTACAATTTGTTTTTCACAAACAATATCATCACCATATAATGTGCATAGAATGAAAGAAAGTCACCGGTTTCGAATTTGCTTGCCATTAACTAATCCTACCCAAATAAAGGTGAAACCAAATGGAAAAGGGAAAATACAAAAATAGCCGTATTCATTCGTATGAATTCAAATGTATAAAGCTACGATTTTTAAGGCACTTGGAATGCTCCCATTCGATAGATTCACAATTCTAATTGTAATTTTACGTAATGTTTCCTTTGCTTATCCCTACAAGTATTTGGTATTTCTTACGTGTTTATATTTATTATAAAAATGCTACAAAAAAAAAACATGATCAACGCTTATTTCAAATCGATTACTCGAATCTCTTTTAGGAAAGTCGCGCCAATCTTTTAAAAGTACAAACTTACGAACAGAGGGGGAGGGCTTAAGAAATCATCCCCTCTCGTTCAATCGTTCAAAAGTGGTCAAACAATAAATATACACTATAATATAATGTGATTTAATGTACAAATACTAAAAAAAAAAAAAAAAAGGAATTAAGTTGAAACACGAATCCTGGTTTGCTAATTAAAAAATTCTTTTTACAGACGCTTTATATTAGTAAGAAAACTTTCAATTGGTATGAAGCTGTATGCCTTCCTGGGAAGCCTATATTACAGGAGTAGATTTCCACTCCGTGATTACACGTTTGTCCTAATCGGGGATTTAAACCGAAACCGTTGCGAATCAGAGGACTTTTATATATACAAGACTCGACCGTTATCTCCAACCCGTGTTCCAGACCAGGCGTTTAGTCCTCGAACGTCTTCGCAGAGGGACGAAGCTCTTCTAAAACAAGTCTGGAACGGAGGTTTCGAGTCAGTTCAGAAAAGGAGGCAGCTGGACATAGTTCTGTTGGCTGGCTGGTTCACTCTTCACCATCACTTGATCCTTCATTCCTTGACGTCCTTGCGGCGAGTGCATACCGTAATCCTGCTTCTGATCCTGTTGGGATTGTTGTTGTTGTTGTTGCTGTTGCTGCGTGTAATCGGGCTGTTCGTGCTGATACTTATCCGGTGGACTCAGCCCGCTAACGTAGTCCAATTGCTTGTTCTGCTGATGGTCCTCTTCGGACATCGAATTCGCCAGGTGTGTGGGCGGCGAGTGAGCGGCCACCATCGTTTGGTAATCGTTGCGTGTCAACGGAGGCGGTGGACTGTTGCTGGCGTTCATATAGTCCTGATGAACGCGCATCGTGTTGCCTGACGGGGTCGAGAACAACGAGGCGTCGTGCTGCGGCAGCATGGTCGCGTACGAGTACGCGGATCCGTTGTTGCTTGGTCCACCGAAGGAGGTCGAGTAGGGTGAATTCGATGGACTCAGTAAATTCAAATGCGGCGCTAGATCGTACGCCGGCGAATACGCCCAGGCGTCCGGCGGTGCTGTTGCCGTTGTTGGGGACGCGAACGGGTTCAGTGTGTTGTTCAGGGAAGTAAAAGAACCTAGAAAAGAATTATAGAAATTGTTAAAGAACGGTTATATTCGATCGACACTTAGATTTCAATATGATTTGCCGATATACAGGGTGTCCCAAAATAGCTTCGACTCTCGGAAATGAGGGGTATCGTAACGAGATATTAACGAAAAAGCGCGAGTCTGCTGGCCGAGCTCTGATTGGTTAGGGTTTTTCATTAATATATTGTTAATAAAACCTTGGAGGACGTTTTCGCTAAGGAAAAAGTTGTTTTAAATCACCCCAGGAATCACCCATTTCAAGGACTTACAACTATTTTGGGACACCCTGTATAATCCCTTAGATATTTCTAGTTTTTAATGTTAGACCGATTTGGAGTCTCTAAATCCGGTTGGCGGTGCGCCGTTCTGTAATTTCTGTTTCAATTACCTGATAAGCCAGGACTGGCCGAGCCAGCGGCCATGTAACCGGCAGTTTTACGCGGTGGTTCCCTCTTTCGCCATTTTGCACGACGATTTTGGAACCAAACCTGAACCCTGGACTCCGAGAGAGCCAGTTTCACGGCGAGTTCCTCGCGTGCGAACACGTCCGGATACGGTGCACGCTCGAACGCTTTTTCCAGTTCGTCCAACTGATAGGCGGTGAATGTGGTTCTGTAATTGATCGCATTAAAATTAGTAAAAATTGGTTTACCTTAAACTTAATATATCAAATCATCATGAACGGTGGATTAAGTAAAACGTACCTAGTTTTCTTCTTCTTTATCCCATTATTGTCAGTCTTTTTCTTGGAGTCTTTCTTGGCTGGCTGTGCCTCGCTGCTGACTGTCAAACAAATCACGCGTTCGATTAAGTTTAAGCTGATTTTGTTCGGTCTTGGACCTACGTTAATATCCCGTCCCATAGACATAGAAATACCCAGATAGCACATGGCGCCTTCAAGACGGCTTAAAGACTCCTTCAAGGCGTCATATGCTATCTGGCTAGCAAGTCCCCCTAAAGTAATCCGTCTTTTTCTAAAGTTTGGACGCTGGTCCAGCCTGACACGCAGTCTATATTCCCATATCTACGGTCCCAATTCTTAACAAGTCAAATTTAAATTTCCATAGTGGATTTGTTACAAACAATCAAAACATCGGTGATATCGAAATATATTCTGACGACCCGATAGTTCGTGTATTGACTAAGATGTGACGCTAACCTGGCGCTAGACTGTTCATCGGATCCTCCGGTTTTCTCTTTAACGGATTGCCCAATTGGAGACCCTGCTGGAGGGTCGTCGAGGTCGGCGTCGCAGCGTTCGACGTCGAGGTGGTGACATCCTGGGTTTGGGGAAGCGGCGCGTACATTCCGGCCAATTCGAGCTCTTTCAATTCCTTTTGCTGTTGCTGTTGCTGCAGATGATGATGGGAGGCCTGGTGATGAGGCGGTGGGCTATTCGAGGAGTCCAATTTGTGGAGGTGACCGCCGGTGGGCATGAGATCGCCGCCGTGGTGGCCACCGTGCAGACCCAACATCACCTGGATGCTGTGAACACCTGTACCACCTCTGCCGCCGAAATCGGAGAAGATCGGATCGTCGAACGGGCCTCCGTCCATGTTTCAAAATTAAAGGACCAAACGTGTGCGTTTCGTCGGGACTCGGTACGAAATCAGCCCTGCTGCCTGGACTCGAAGAAGAACGCACCAGGTTATATTTTCACTTCACAATCTTCTGGTCTCTAAACGTCAGAGTATATCGAGATATACCACGATAGCTTTAGTCGAGAATCGACACACGGTTTTAATAGGAACTGCACACCTCCAATAGTTCAATCACAAGGCAGATCGATGATCAGTCAACAAGATTGTTAACATCCACTTTTCACGAAAACTTTGGTCCTTGCCACCTAGCCTCGAACCCGTTCATTCCAAGCTTCGAACGTTCCTCCTTTCTCAGGACCGATCTCGTAACCGAAATCTAGCGTCACCTTCGGCTCGATCGGAATTAATCAGCCGGGAGGCCACCGGGAATCAGTGTTCCTGGTAACTCGACGATCACACCGCTAATATATCTTCCACCATAAATCTCAGCGATATACCCGTCGATTCCGCGAACCGTTGGCAACGCCGTTAAAGAAAGTCTCGCGGTGGTCCCGGTTCGCAATTATGCAAAAAAGCACGCTTACGGGTTGATCGCGTTAGGCGGTCCCGGGTAATGGAATCCGGACCAATTGCGATCAATTGTTGCCCGGGTTATGATTAATTTTGATTAGTTTTAAGCGGAGTTAACTAAGTGGAACCGAGGCGCCAGACGAACGTTGCCCCAGAGAGTAGCAAACTCTAAGAGTCCAACGGAACAGAGGAACACACCGGGAACCTTGGAGGACGGTGTGCCGCGGAATGGAATCGGGTTCGGTAGTTACACCGCACCGGGACACGCTTTCTATGGACCGGCGGGGGGGGGGGAGGGGTACTTGGGTTTGATCGAGCAAGAGCCGCTGGCCTATCTTGCGCTACCGACGATCCGTTCGGACTCTGGCTAATCAACCGACACTCACACAGGCTTATATTTTCAACGGGTTGCCGGGCAGGCCGCCCCCACACATGGAAGCCAACCAATCCTGTAGCACCTACCAGCCTCGACGTGCTTCACGAGAGGACGGCCGTTTTATGCGGGCGCGGTGCTAGCTCGTTTTCTTCCTCTTTCTTTCTCTTTTTCTCTCCCTTTTACGTCTCTTGTCTCCTCTCCTTCTCGCCCTATCCCCCCTCTCCCCTGACCCTTTTTCCAATTCTACCTCTTTCTCTATCGTGCGACGCCTCTTCTGACTCTCGATTCGTCTACTGCTATCTCTTTCCCGCGTTTATGATAGACGTTGTTCGTGATGTTCAGAGAGAGAACAGAATGCACGCGAAGAATCGCTATCATTGCGACCGCCCCCCGGTCTCACGGACCCGGAGAACGCCATAGAGCCGTTCCATCGACGACGATTCACGCGTGGGGCGGCGTGGTGGGGGTATGTGGGAATCGGAACGAATGCGATCGTTCACGTTCGGACCGTCCTGTCGTTATGGGAAAAATTGGCGATGGTTTCTAGTTGAACTATGGACTCCTCGCGTCGTCACCTTTCGACCTTCACGCGTCTCTTGGAACGGAGATCGTTGAAACGTAGATCGTCTGGTGGGATTTCTCTGGCGATCAAGCTCTATGGGATGTTGTATCTTCTTCCATGAAACTTACAGGTGATGGCTCGATGACTTTTGTCATTTGTGAGATTTTTGTCGATCGTGTTCGCCTCGAATTCGCGACGTAAACTGACCGTTGTTTCAACTGATACTTTCGAATCTCGCGTTAATCGATATTTCAAGGTGTGGAAGCAGGTTGGACGAATGTGTTTAAATCGAGTCACGCGTTGAAATCACCTGGTTCTGCGTAGTCAGGGTTCAAGCCGTTTACTCGATTTCTAGCGCGCAGAAAGGGTTATCCGTGTTACGAATTTTTTCGTCATTTCGTATCGACCGAAAGTACGGAATTACTATTCTGTTTAACCAGGTGTGATCACCGAAATTTAGAAGTGTTCTGTGTCTCGAAATTTCTAACGATCCACTTCAAAAGCTCCAATGGTCACGTAACAATAGCTTCTGTCATAATCGGCTCGCCACGGTCAGGTCTGTGATTGGTAATTTACCTTCTTCGTAAATTCAATCCACGGTCACGCGATCCTCGTGATGGCGGGAAACACCTCTCGTTTTGTAGTCACAACACTGAACCAACCGGAAATCAATCACTAGAACCAATCGGAAACCACCGAACTCCAACGAAAAATTTCGATCCGTTTCATTTCTATCACCGTTTCCAAACCGTTAGAAAATATATATATATATCACAATGCAGTCACGTCGATCAGCAATCACATTAATCGTCATTTCCAGAAGTCCTTGGACCCGACCTCTGAACCCTCGACCATCCACAACGATTCGAGAGAGACCACACGGTGGCACGAGGCGATCGCTGATGACACTGTTTTCCCATTGCGTCGTTTCTTCCTGCTTGACAAGACCAAAAGGATTCTCTCACATGGACCCTCATTACATCCTTTCAACTCGGCGTTGGACTACGGTGGCCTGATTTTATACCGTCGGATGTCTGCCCTCCGAAGCGTTCGAGGCGTTTAACCGACGCCACGGCGGATCTTGTTCGGCGATCGATCGTCGTCAATCGGTCCAGGATCCTCGTAAAGGACGTGAAAGGTAAAGGTACTTATACTTTCCAAGAGATCCATGTCCGTTGACCGGCAGCGTGGCACTGAGCTCTTAAGCGCAGGCTCAATGAAACCAGCAATCGCCAGGAATTGCCTCGAATTGGCCCAATCAAACTACCCCCATTCCGTGTGTATACGCGTATATTAACTGCTAATTTCATCGGCGGTAATTAGCGCGTGCCTGTCACGCGCTGATTTAATTGCGCCTCGCGGAGACTTTCCTTCCTCCGTCCCCTCTGCTCTGCGGAGTCTTTTCCGTTCCTCTGCACGGGGACCACGAGGGACCTGTGTGTGACCACCGGGTTCACGCGGCCTTACCTCCTATCGGAGCTAATCAATCGGTTTGTTTATCCGTGTCGACTCCGATCGAACGATTTCGGTGGTTGTCAGGAGGAAAGAACAGGAGAATGGTATCAGGAAAATTGTGCTACCTGTTGGAAGGGATTACCTCGATAGTACTAAAACACCCTTACTTTATCGAGTCTACATTTTGAAGCATAGGATTGTTGCGACTGTATGAAAAGTCGTCAGCTACAATGGTATATCCAGAATTGAAGTTCGACGCGGTTGGGGCTTATTGGAAGAGGAGGGCAGTGCTACGATGTCGTGAAAAGTCGCCCTGCGTTCCAGAGAAACGACCCTTATAATTTGACTGCGCATTTATATGCAAAATCATATTTTTCAAGGAAGCAGTGTTGGGGTACCCAGTTGCCCAGAGTGTGAACACGTTATATTCCACAGAACATATTTATGGACGTTACCACTGAACCCACCACGACCGGTCAAACGACCGATTTTGTCGTTACGATTCTTTCATTTTTAACGGTCCGGTAGGTTTAGTGTTAAGCGACCCGACTCGATCAGCTTCCAGTTGACACCCATCCTCAATTACACAATTCAAGGTGGACAGGAAGGATACTCGTCCGTGTACGCAGGAGGCGTTTGATCCCGCGAGCGAGCGATGCCAGGCGAACAAACGCAACGGCGAGGAGAAGTCGGTAACTTAACTGGCCTAAATGGGTTTAACTCGATGTGATTTTGCTGGCGAACCACTAAATTGAACGAATACGAACTAAACTGAACTCAACTAAGCTAATCATATCACATTACTAGCGTTATTAGCCGAGAGACGATATAAGTGAAGGCCCGGTGGTGCCCGGCTGCAGTAACGGGTCGCCTCCTGCGCTGACCCTCCGGGGACGACTTTCTTTTCGACGCACCGTCCTTGTTTCCTTCGAGCCCCCTTTTATCCGTGCTTGTCGCTTCGTGTGCAGCAACATTTTTCTTTTCAAATTTCTCTCGCAACATTTCCTCGGTTTCATTCCGCGGAGCATATTCCGTTACGCGATTCGTATCGAGTTCTCGATAAAGGGCCGAAGACCCATGGATTGGTTGGAGAACGGAGAAAGGATTCTTCTTCGGGAAACGGTGGTGAACGGATGCACTCGGTGTACCGTGACGGCGACGGTGACCGATTATACCCGAAGTCGGCGTTGTATGTGTGCAGTACACACTCGGCCGCGAAACAGGAAACACGTGCCCCGTTGGAAGTGACAGCTCGCGGCGGGACGTTCAATACGTACCGGACAAATGAATTCAGACAAAGACATTTTTCGTTGCATTTGTTGTTATGGTGATGTTACTGAAGTTCTGCCCTCCGGAGTGTTTACTATTATTCCGACGCAAGCTTTCAGAAAAAATTACGCTAGGCATAAACATGTAACAATATGGTGTCGCGGGATTTTCCGCTGAGGTGTCATTCAGGATCGAGATTCGAAAACTACGCCGTTGTAGTAACTGTTTTTTTTTTTTTTTTATTTCTTTTATTTAATACAACGTTGATATGCGATCGATCGATACGAAATACCGTAGTTGTTATCAGAAGTGCAAAAGCAAATTTAGTTTGACGCGTGAAAGTTATTTAGCGTGCATACCATAAGAATACCATAAAGAAAATTTTGTAAAGGATAATACACACCGAGAGAATACAATCTATATTTAGAATACGTTCTGTAGATGATTATTTAAACAATAGCGTTGTTTAACAAACCGAGGAGAAAGTTTACGGACCATGCGTGTCCACTACAGTAAATCCACGATGAATGTCCAAAGGCTCCTCAGCACTGGCAATTGGTCCCCAGGTGTAACGCTGACTTTTTAACACGTTGAATCTCGTGGGGGTCACCAGTGACCCCCACTCTAGGCAGTATACCTTTCGGTATCATTAATATTGAACTATAAACTGGTAAGCTTCTAGAAACTAAATGTCAAAAGTATGTTAACATAGTTGATAGTGTAACGAAGATATCACTTCGACGCTGTGGCTGAAACGTACGAAAATCATCCGGCATTCAACCT